ACAACAAAACCTCCCAAATCCTATCCATAACCTTCTCCAAAATCCTACTAATCCTAACCTAATTCTATACCTAAACTTTCCACAACCTTTCAAACCTTTTCCAAAACCTTCTCCACCTTCTCCGAAACCCTGGTTAAACCTCACCTAATTCTATATCGAAACCTCCCCGACCTTCACCAAACCCTTTTCTAATAATATTATAAATAAATTCCAATTTAATATATTAAAATAATATATATATTCTTATATATATTATAATATTATTAAATAATTATATATAATTATTATTACATATTTATTATAAAATATAATTATAAATTTATAAATAAATATAATATTATTATTATTAATTATATTTAAATTCTTTTACAAAAATATTAGTATATATTATTATCAAATTTAAATAAAATAATTATTTTAATTATTATTTTAAATTTTCAATATATTATACATTTTATTTAGATTTAAATAATTTATTTCTAAAATAAAAATTACAATACAAATAAAAATATTATTTTTATCCATTTTTAGAATATTATTTATTTTAAATAATAAATATTAATAATATTTAAAAAATATATTTCATTATATTTCTCATTATTTTTTTTATTTCTAAAAATCGAATACGAATTCCTATATTCCGTATAGTTAATAAATTATTTATAGGGATTTTATTTATAAAAATTCCAAATAAAATCAATTAAATATTTTTAAGATAGGGATATTCCCCCAACGATTTGATTTGGTGTACATTAATCAGTGCTTAGCAGTTCAGAAAAAGGAGTGCTCCTACCTCAGCCATGATTGTGGGGGCAGAATTTTGGAGCGAACATATTTGATGTTGAGACATTTGGTGAACATCTCCAGAAGAGCACATTTCACGTCAGTTCATGTCAGTTCCAAACATCTTCACGATTTTTTTGATGAGGTCAAATTCCTTGATTTTTCCTCGTAGTTTTATGTAGTTCTCCTCACTTTCCCCAGTGGTTGCTGGATTTTGGTGGCCAATTCCCGTTACCAGCTTCCGGTTTTCAGCCGAGGCGTAAGCCGACGAGATGGCGCGTAGGCTGGCGGTACCACAGGATCCCATGAAATCCCATTCCTTTCCCCTCGAAATCGTCTCTAGGGCGAAGATTTTAGTGGCGGATATAAAGGGGTTTATAAACTTGTATCCTTGATTTGGAGAATCCTTGGCTCCAATTTTCCTGAAACTACGCATACTTCACCCGAGAACAAGAAGAAATTTGGGTTATGGATGTGGCTCATGGACCTATGGATATTGATATGTGGTTATAACCATTGACATATATTTGGATATAAGCAAATGGATATAACCTATGGATATTGTATATAGTTGGATATATTTCGTAATTATCTATGTATATATATATATATACACGTGTGTGTGTGTCTGTTTATGACTGATATTGATCATCCAATGTGATATTGATCAGCAAAACACACGTTCATGAGTCTATATCAGTTTATGATATCTATGTCAATGTCTTTGCCTGGCAGGTTCCTTCTTTGACAAACAGCTGTTTTGTTGTGCTTAGAGACTCAGTGACTGAAGATCATTGCCACTATATAGTGTGGTAAACCCAAAGCCATAAACAACGGGCAACTCTTTTTTTGACCTTGGAAAATCTGTTGTTGAACTTGCCTTTTTTACAACATTGGATCACCTTTTTTTGTTGACCTTGGCCTCCTCTTGTTTAACCTTGGCCGGTTTTTAAACCTTGACCCACTCTGTTTTGACCTTGGCCTATTTTGTTAACTTTGCACCTTTTTCTCTCACCTCCACAAAATTAATCAAAAAACCGTGGGCGGTGGGGCCCCATATCCAACCATGGGAATGTGAGCCATGGCTTTACCGTCACCCCCAAGTAGCCATGGTGTATAATCCCAACAAGTTCGATGTTGCCACCAAGCCCAGTGAAATTGGAGTAAACCAACTTAGCTAACAACTTGGGGCCCACCTTTCCCCATCCAAATTTGAGGCATGGACAAACACAGATTAAAACCAAGCAACGCTGGCATCAGAAACAAACCGAGGAAGTGGGTTAGTAGTTGCTTGGTGGCACCCCTGAAATAACTTTGAACATGATGACTTCGTTGATTATTACTGACTCCTGCCGTACTTCCATGAGTGTTTCAAGCAAAGTATCTTGGGTTTGGGATTTGTTTTTTTTATAGTTTATAGTTTATTGCCCTCTGGTAAACTGTCACATAGCGAACTGGAAAATCACTATTTGAATAGGTAAATCACCTATTTCTATGGTCCATGTTCAATAGCTACGTTAGTTGAAAATGGCCATTGATATCCATTTATAGTTGATTTACCCAGCTATAAAATGGTGTTTTTCCAGTTCGTTATGGGACAGTTTACCAGGCCGGGTACATGTGATCACTTTAGGGTGAGCACATCTCCTCAGAGTGCCATCCCATGGCCACCAAGCCTCGCATGGACAAGTTCATCTTGTTGGAGTCCAAGTCCACGGATTCAATGCGCACCTGGACGTCCTCAGCGCACGGATGGCATGGAAAATGGTGATATCTTTGAATCTTTGGTGGTTTCAATGGCAATATACGGCCATATATCCCAGCAAAGTATGGCCTTACATGGTACAGTACCTCCATTTTAGGATCCTGGAATTCCCATTGATTTCGTAATGTCAAATACCATTCTCAAGATGGTTTTTACATATTTGTTTACATGTTACATCTTGTTTTGAGCATCGTGTTTGACATTAGCACCATGTATACTGCCAGGGCATGCCCATCCCCACGTGGGTCAGCCTCGGTGCCGGAGGCCACTGACCGGAGAGGATTGATCATATGATACGCGGATATTACACGGAGAATATATGATACTATATGATATTATATGATATACGTACGTATACATATATATATATACGTATATAATATATACACAATGTGAATATAATATGACCAATGACAATCATATAGGTCCTTTAATTTAAGGGCATGCATCAGTCCCACGCAGAACGGATTGTGCCAGGTTTCTTGACCCGTGGAGACATACCTTTGCACTTTGTCCACGAAGCCATCCTCACGGCACGTGCACAGCCGGGTTTTTAATGATATGCGCGGCACAAATAGTTATATAATACTATGCATTAATGGGTTAATGATATTTTAATGGATTTCCATATTACCTATGCAAATGGCATGATATGGCATAGTTCTTACTGGCAACTGTTAATTTCTCCCCGTTTTCATGGCAATGATTCTCTAAATTCACGTAGCTAACAGCGTATCAATGGTGACTTTATGTTTAAATGGCATTTGAGGGCATCCAGTTCTTCCTGACGACAATGTTCAACAAATGGTTCCTTGATATTTTAAAAGACAAACACATCTCTGGAAAATGTAATGTGGTCCCTGCAATATTTGTGAATTTCCAGATGCAAGTTTCACCGTCCATCAACCCATCCATTCATCCATCCATCCACTCATCCATGGATCCATCCATTCCTCCATATTTGCTACACATATGTATCACATATGCATATATATATATACACATTTGCACAACCTGTTCATGAATATAGTTACATGTCCAATTCTCCACATTGTTCAAAGCATGTTTTCACCTTTCATAGCCCTTTTGTGCCACGTTCCTGTCCCCGCCATTTCTGTTGCCGGTCCTTGATCTTGGACACGTGCACCAAGCCATCCGCTGTGGCGCCATCCTCCAGGGTCACCGTCACAAAGGCGCCGAAGGGCACAATGCGTGCCACGACGCCGTTGAACCACTCCTGACGTCAGGATCTGGGGAACATCCTGAAACTCTCGGCACTTCTCTTAACATGAGGAACTACCAAATCAAACGGTGAACATTCCGCAAAATTCGTCAAAACTATTGGGGCTGAGGAACTTTGGTTGACGCAATATGAATGTGTCAAGAGGTTGGTGCTGGATTTTTTGGCAAATAAATGTGTGGAGTTGTTGTCAGTTGTCATCACGTGGTTGTTGGTTGTTGGTTGTTCTTTACACCTGGCAGGATGGAAAAACATGAGCCAGCTGCATAGGCTATCTAATGCCAGTCAAAGATCCATAACCTGATGGCAAAGCACAAGTTCTATACTTATCAGATTCCATTGTTTTCATTTTTGGTGTTTTTTAAATTTATGTTTAATGCGGTAAACCCAAGGATACAGCATCCCCAATACAATAGAGGCCTATTATTGAATATAACGGTATAACCCTATAACTAATTGGGTTTACCAGCCTTATTCTGTGTTTTAACCCATCCCAAAAATATGTTCGTCATTCTCAGCCATTGATCCCAAATATGGTGGAAACACAATAAACATCTGAAACCACCAGCCAGAAATCATCACCAGAATATGGTCATTTCAAATTTCAAAACAACATCACAAGAATGAGAATATGTTTGACAATTCCGCGTTCTATCTACTGCAAGATGATGATATCATTAAATCCCGCTCAAATCCCTCAAGGAGTACCAGGGCACATACATTACACACAAATAAATATATATATATATATACATACATACATGCATACATAGGTTTTTATAATGTTACCCATTGTGCTACGATATCAATGTGTATATATATATATGTATATATCCGCCGACCCCAGCTGACAACAGGGGGAGCGCGTCAGAGAAGAAAGGATGCGACACAAGGAGCAAGAACAAGAGTAAATCCGCCGACCCCGCCTGCAACAGGGGGAGCGCATCAGAGGAGAAATTAGTAGCAGCAAGGGGCAAGAAGACATGACAAACAGCAAACGTGTTTCGAGGCTTGGCGGCTAGACTTGGTTTGGTTGGCCAGCGCCGGGAAGCAAGGGCAAGAAGGGCGAGGAGCAAGAGCAAGAAGGCGGGAGAAAGCAATGGCAAGAGCAAAAACGACAGCTAGTTTCTTGTCGGTTCACAAAGCAACGTTCGGCACAGGTAGCCGCAGGCCGCAGGCCTGATCCGTCCTTCAGCTGCGTGGTGTTTCGATGTGGCGAGGCAAAGGTTTTGGAGGCTTGAAGGGTGCAAATTTGCAGCTAGTTTCTTGTCGGTTCAGAGAGCAACGTTCGGCACAGGCAGCCGCAGGCCGCAGGCCTGGTCCGTCCTTCAGTTGCGTGGTGTTTCGATGTGGCGAGGCAAAGGTTTTGGACGCTTGAAAGCTGCAATTTGGAGCTAGTTTCTTGTCGGGTTCAGAAAGCAACGTTCACAGGCAGCGGCAGGCCGAAGGCCTGGTCCGTCCTTCAGTTGCATGGTGTTTCGGTGTGGCAAGGCCAAGGTTTTGGAGGTTTGAAGGCTGCAATTTGGAGCTAGTTTCTTGTCGGTTCAGCAGTGCCCACCAAAGCCAATCCATGCTATATAATTAGTTAGGAAACAGATCTTCGTGGATGACATGATAACTAAATGCATGTGAAGCTTTTGTGATTTCTTTTTCAGTTTTCAAATGGATGCAGCATAGAGCAACAGATTGACATTTTGCACTGGTGGGTATTAACTTGCTGTAATCGCAGAACAATGCCAACGTCTGGTGTCGGGGCAGGGGACGTAGCCCCTTATATGTATAATATATATATATATACAGACGTACATGCATGCCATACCATGCCATACCCTACCCTACCCTACCCTACCATACCATACATAGATACGTACATACGTACATTACATTAAATTACATGACATGACATTACGTTACGTTACGTTATATTACATTACATTATATATATAATATATATATATACATCCCCCTTTGAATTCGGTCCCTAACCCGGATGTTCAGATTCTTTAAAGGGACGCCCTGTGCCACCAAAAAATATCTTTAAAGAATGGGAACCCTTCTGTACAGGCACCTGGTACAGTGCTTAAAGAATCATACCCAGTTGGCCACTCTAACCCATGAGGCTTAAAGAATCATACCCGGTTGCACCCCTCGAGAGGGCAAAAAATGAGCCTAAAGAATTAGAACACCCGCGTTTGAGTTGTAGACATTCACCCGTATGAAATTTCACATATGTTTTGTAGCTTTGCGTGGTTCTTCGGAAATCTACCTACAACATATTTTTACTAATGTTTGTTAGCCCTAAACACTCCCAATTCAAAAAAAAATGCGCAAACCAAAACACCTCCGCTCCTGCTCGCTGATCTCAATTCAATTTTTGCCGCTCTCTTGCATTATGACCCCGTGTAGAACAGAGAAAGTGGATTTTAGCAAAAAAAAAAATAATAATAAAAAACAGAATCACCAAAAAAACAAATCGACAGGAAGAATCACCAGAAGAAACAAAAAAAACAAGAAAAAAACAAAAAAAAAACCTGCATTTTCCGCAGTTTTTTTTGTTTTTCTTGTTTTTTTTCCTTGGTTTTGGTTTTCTAGTTTGTTTTTTTTGGTTGCTCTGTTTTTTTTTGTTTTTGTTTTTATATTTTTCCGTCAAACCCTATATTCTCTGTGTTGTTGGACTCATAACTCTTGCAACGCAAGATTTCCCCAGTCTGATCTAAAGATCATTGGCAGTTCTGATTCTTTAGAGGTTATATAAGGCCTGTCGACCCATCAAAATTCAGTAGTTTTACATAGTTCTATGTTATTTTGGTTCATTTTGGATAAGTTTGGGATATTTTCAGGGGAAGCCTCTCTAAAGAATCAGGACCCAGATCCCAACACAGGGGTTTGTTGAGCTGCCTTCTGAAAACCACTGGTGCTATACCTGGCAATATTGGGGGTTCCCTGGGGATTCCCTGGGGAGATGGTGTTGGACCGAGCCAGTTCTGATTCTTTAGAGGTTAAGGCCTGTCGACCCATCAAAACCTAGTAGTTTTACATAGTTCTATGTTATTTTGGTTCATTTTGGATAAGTTTGGGATATTTTCAGGGGAAGCCTCTCTAAAGAATCAGAACCCAGATCCCAACACAGGGGTTTGTTGAGCTGCTTTCTGAAGACCACTGGTGCTATACCTGGGAATACTGGGGGTTCCCTGGGAATTCCCTGGGGGGATGGTGCTTTAACAGATTTGGAAGGGGACCGAGCCAGTTCTGATTCTTTAGAGGTTAAGGCCTGTCGACCCATCAAAACCCAGTAGTTTTACATAGTTCTATGATGTTCTATGTTATTTTGGTTCATTTTGGATAAGTTTGGGATATTTTCAGGGGAAGCCTCTCTAAAGAATCAGGACCCAGATCCCAACACAGGGGTTTGTTGAGCTGCCTTCTGAAGACCACTGGTGCTATACCTGGGAATACTGGGGGTTCCCTGGGAATTCCCAGGGGGATGGTGCTTTAACAGATTTGGAAGGGGACCGAGCCAGTTCTGATTCTTTAGAGGTTAAGGCCTGTCGACCCATCAAAACCCATGCTTTTTTATCGCTTTCTTTTGTATTCCCCAGTGTTACTAGATTCATTGGCCCTGCATTTTCTCTAAAGAATCTAGACCCAGTGAATCACCAAGGAGGAAGAGAGGAAAAAAACATTCTTTAGAGGGAGAGCTGGTGGCAGCACCGATCAGATTTAGATTCTTTAGAGATCTTTAGAGCTCAAGAAAGGATACTCAGAAGAGCCCAGAAGATTCAATACGTGTTGTACATGTTTTTGCCATTGTTTGGCCATGTGTAGCCCAGGAGAATTTCCGAATGATTTCACAGAGAGGATGATCGAGAAATACTCGGAGAAGGTGAATGACGATGGTTTCTTCCTAGGGGTAGCAGATGCCTTTCTTTTTGCGGTGAAGCAGGGCAAGAGTTTAGCCATTGCAGTTGATCCTCAGCCTGATCGGGCCTTGGAGGTTCTCAGTGCCAGAGATTATCTGTGCGGGATTCTTCCTGAAAACATCCAGATCGAACGGAGAGAAGGTGACGACTTGGATACAAGAGTCCTGATTCTTGGTGCATAGTCAGCTGCGACGCCAAGTTTGCTCAAGAAGGTGAGCGGAATCACTACGTCCCAGCCATTTTCAAGGATCAGCTCACTCAGGACGAGTGGTTTGATCGCACTGTTTTGGGCCAACGGTCCACTCGGAATGAGTTGAGGGAGAAAGAGCAGGCATTGAGGACGCTTGATTCAGACCTATAGTGGATGCCACATCATGCCTCTGTTCCATTTTTATTGAAATATTCTATGAAGGATCAAAGAATTGGAGCTGATTTCATTAGGGAAACACAAGGCCACCAAAATGCCTACTACATTTTAATGTCTGTATTTTGCTATGCCCGGCAAAACGATGAACGGAGCTATTGTATGAATCTATGTAACATTTTGCTACTCTCATCATGTCTAGTGTCAGTTTTGTTGCGGCTTTTGAGCCATGTTTTGGCCAGCACTTGAAAAATTGAGAAGGTCATTTTAGGGTTCCAAAATTGCAAAAAATGCTTCCACAACATAGTCCTCTAAAGAATCATACCCGGCTGCCCTTCATAGAGAACGCGACCCCATGCAAACAGGCAAAGTTAATTCTCTAAAGAATCAAGCAGAAATTGACAACCCGGGTTGTCTTATTCTTTAGAGGAAATTCCAAGGGGGATATATATATATATATATATACATATATATATATATGTACGTATATATAAATACATTAGATGTGTCCTTCCATTAACCCATATGGGGGTTCCAAAAATGGTGGTAACCCAAATCATTCATTTGTTCATGTTCATTGCATATGTTCCATGAAATAAACCATCCATTTGGGGTAGCCCTATTTTAGGAACCCCCCAAATGGATCCAGATGGTAAACCCTGCCGAGCATCATCGGAGGGCAGATCCGCAAAGGGCTTCAAGTCTGCTGGTGGTCCTGGGCAACGTACTAGGAGACTTGCAGGAAGGGAAACCAGGACGGTGAAACATGACATGTTGCGGGTAAAAATGGTGGCTTAACCGCACCAAAATGATCGAACATGATGGTGTATCATGCGGATATCATGGGGGTTACAGTGTTACAGCATCTATATCTCCGGATAGATGAGTAGCTAAGTCGGCGCACATACCTCCAATTTCACAAGGGTTCATGGTAAATACATCCATAGTTTATTGGGGTTGTAAACCAACTTACAGCTGGGCACCACCTTGAATATCCTTGAATAGTATATATGTATATATAAGACCTCTCCAAATGTCTTCATGTAACATAGACCTTTCCAAGTATCTCGTGTTTTTTTGGCCAGGGCGTTGGAAAATGAATGTCATCCATGGGCTATTCTCAGTGTCTACGTTGAGAGTTGGCAACGGAAAACTTGATTTAAGCCGGGAAATCACTTGGTTTTTGTCACAAAGGCATGTAGGTGACAAATGGTGACAAAAACACAACCACAACTGACATAGGGGGGCAGCCAAGAGTCGACGTCGTCTGTCGCTCAGACCAACCATGGTCAGACCATATTTTCCTGCAAACACGGAGCGGTGTGGCTTACAAGGTGGCTAAATCAATGGCAAGATATATTAACATAAACATAATATAGAAAGACAGTAAGGTTTGTGATTTCTCAAGCTTCGAATTCAATGATGCCAACATCCAATACCATCCAATACCCACCGCCAGCATGAATGCAACATCATGCAGCATTCACCAGCACCTTTATGGCGATGACATGTGGTTCTCCTTCATCCTCTCTCTTGCCGGAAATCCACACATCCACCTGGTGGCCACAACGGGCCGCAAAAATTGACAAACTCAAACTCTAACTGATCAAACTGAGCAAACTGCGCAATCAACAATCAGTAGACATCCTCACGTTATACGGATTTCTGGGAGATGATCGAAACCGATGACAGGAGCCTGGTAGGACAACCCCCATCCTGGTAGGATGGGAACAAAACACCCGTAGGATGGAAACCAGGCTTTCTCCACGAAGATTTGCTCAGATCAGGAAAGAACACATGCAGTTATGTACATGTATACATGTATCTATATATATATACGTATGTATCCATTGAATTCCTTCAAGTCTAAACTAGCTTGGCCTTGCTAATTGATCATGTTACATCTCATTGTTCCAAGGTTTTGACCCATCAACACCCCGTCCATGTTGGAGCATCATGGCCTGCTGTCCCTCAGACAAAATGTCGTAGATATTTTCAATACGTTCCTGCACCGTCGACGAAGGCATTTGTGTCAAAATCTTGGGCTGACTTAACACAAGTTGACAACTCCGCAGCTAAAAAATCACCAAAACAACAAGTTGCGGATTACAGTATATAGATGTTGAGTGATTATAATTTTTAATCAGTAAAAACATCACCTATAACCACTCCGCAGTCTCTATAATCACCAAAAAAAAAGTTGCAAATACCCACTGTGGACCACACATCACCCCATTCCATCTCGCTTCTGATACAAAGATTGGTTGGTTACCTTCCAGTAAACTAACATAGGTGGTAAAGATACCATGATTTTGTTTGGCTTTCAACCATCCAAGGTGATGCAGGATATGGCAATCCATAATTTTTCCCCATCGAAAATGATCAGACACGGTGCATTGTCCATATCTGTGATTAACATTGACTATCTGGATGGTGTTCAAAGGCAAAGTCCTGAAAATAAAATCAAAAACCTTTCCTGATATACCCTGATCTCCTATTTCAGAGATGGCAACAACAGTTGTCCAATTTCAGCTGACGATCCCTGACGACCCTGACGACCTCGATCCAGAATCTGCTGACGACCCCGACGACCCCGACAACCCCTGACGCGCCCTGACGACCCCTGACCGACTGCCACAGGAGATCTTTGCCCGTTTTGACGCCCCTGTCTCTGACCCTTTGTTCGTGTGTTGAACGTATTGGTTTGTAGGGTGGATGGGCGGGAAATTTCAACAATTTCCCCACATATTCTGTTGAGGGTATTGCTTTGTGAGGTCGAAGGGGTTAAATCAGATTAAATCTATAACAATGACTCATATGCTAAACCTATTGCTTTGTAGGGTCGAGGGAGATAAGTTTCAAAAATGGCTCAAGATGCTAATGTTCTTCACATGTTCAACATATTGGCTTGCTGTAGGAGAAGGAATTAACGAATACAAGAATGATTACATTTCATTTTCTTCATATATTCAACGTAATAATTTCCAGGGGGAGGAAAAGACACCTTAAACATGGTTCATGGTGCCAAGTTGTTTTATATGTTGAACGTAGTTTTTTTGTAGGGGACAGCCAGGAAAAACATAACAATGACTCAAGATTCCAAATTGGTTGATATGTTGAGCGTAACGTTTTAAAAGGGATGGGGGGAGATTGGGAGAGAGATATACATTCAAACTGCAAAACAACGACTCAACATGTCAACTTTGTTCATATATTACAGGTATTGCTTTGTATTTTGCGGAGTCGACGAGAGGTTATAAATTGCAAAAATAACCCCACATGTCAATTTTCTGCACTTGTTCAACTGTTTGCTTTATAGGGTCGAGGGGGGCTAAATTTTAAGAATAACTCGACGTGTCAACTTTCACCGTAAAAAAAAACTCGACGTGTCAACTTTCACCGTTTTTTTCAACGTATTGTTTTGTAGGGCCGAGGGACTGTAAATTTCAAAAATGACTCAAGATTCCTTTTTTTCATGTGTTCAATGTATTTGTTGTAGGGGAAGGCAAGGAACATTTTGACATAAGTAAAGATGCCATGCTGGCTCATACACTGAACATAGCGTTTCGTAGGGGACAGGGCAGGTAAATCTAAAAGAAAGAATCAACATGTCAACTTGATCCATATGTTGAATGTATTGCTGTGTATGGTCCAGTGGGCGTAAATTCCAAACATGACTCGAGGTTCCAATTTTGTTCGTTCAACGTCTTGCTTTCCTGTAGGGGAAGGAAAAGACATTTCAAACATGACTCAGGATGCCAAGTCGGGTTCATATGTCGAACAAAAATGTTTTGTAGGGGGCCGGAAGATAAATCTATAGCAATGACTCAACATGTCAACTTTCTTCATATGTTGAATCAACCGTATGGTTTTGAAGGTTCGAGGGGGGGTAAATTTCAAAATGACACCACTTGTTAACTTTCCGCATACAATGAACGTATTGTTTTGTAGGGTCGAGGGGGGTAAATTTGCAACAACGATTCCACATGTCAACTTTCTTCCAACTTTGAACATATTGCTTTGTAGGGCCGAAAAAGGGGAATAAATAGAAAAATTGGTAAATTGAGAATTGACTCAAGCTGAGAATTGCCCCCATGTGTTCAAGATATTGTTTTTGTGGGGGAGGGCGGATGACAAAAGATGACTTAACGTTTCAACTTTGTTCCTATCTTCAAGGTTCTGACTTGCATGGGAAAGGAAATGTTAAACACGTCTCACGATGCCAAACCGGTTTGTTTGTTGAACGACTTTGAACGTATATTTTTGTAGGGCACAGGAGAGTAGATCTTTAACAATGACTCAACATGCCAAGTTTGTTCATTTGTTGAAGGGGGTGCTAGCTAGGGTCGAGGAGATGTAAATTTAAAAAATGACTCCGCATGGCAACTTTCTTCATACCTGAAACCATTTGTCTGGCAGGGTCGAAGGGACGGAAATTCCAAGCATCACTCGACATGCGAAATCTCTCCATATGTTCAACGTGTTGTTTTGTAGGGTCGATGGACTGTAAATTTCAAAAATGACTCAAGATTCCTTTTTTTCATGTGTTCAATGTATTTGTTGTAGGGGAAGGCAAGGAACATTTTATCATAAGTCAAGATGCCATGCTGATTCATACGTTAAACATAATGTTTTGTAGGGGACAGGGCAGGTAGATCCAATAGAATGAATCAACATGTCAACTTGATCCATATGTTGAATGTATTGATTTGTAGGGTCAAGGTGTTGGTAAAATTCCAAAATGTTCAACTATTTTCTTTGTAGGGTCGAGAAGGGTAAATTTGAAAACTGACGCGACATGTAAGCTTTCTCGGTATGCTAAACGTTTTATTTTGTAGGGTCGAGGGGTTGTAAATTGCACAATGACTCAAGATGCATTTTTTCTTCATTTGTTCAATGTATGAATTGGAAAGGAAGGGGGGGTGAAATGTTTCAAGACAAATCAACATTTCAACTTTGTTCATACGTATATTCAACGTATTGATTTTTGAGGAATAAAGAATACTTTTTGAACATGACTCAGGATGCCATGTTGGTTCATATGTGCGACGGTCAAAACATGGTACTGATTCCATGGTCATCAGTTTAGGGGGTATCGCTCCTCAAGGCTCCCTATCGTTTCACACAGTGGGAGCTCACTTTTGGCCAAAAAGAAGATGGATTATATAAATATATCTATAAATGTATTTCTATATATAGTAGAATATCACGTCTATCTATATCTATATATATATATATAGAATTATATAGATAGAATATATACCTATATGGGGGTCGTTCAAATCAGGTGAGCATGCCAGCAGTAGGGCCATACGGACCGAGATGGGTTTGAAATATCGAAAGAATGTCGGAACATGCGGGTTTGCTGCAAGGTGCTGAATCAGCCGGAATCATCCAATTTTTGACGTTTGGCCAGCACTCTCCCCAAGTGTGACATGGTCACAAAATGTGACATCACGGACAAACCTTTTCTTAACAAGCAGCAAAGCTGCTTTAACTAACAGGGAAATAATTTCGGTCTCTTCCGGTGAGGCCTGCTCCTCCCGGACACTTGGAGAATTCCGGGAGATTCCGTCTATTTGGGCAGCTGTGAGACGGGACCAGGGCCGCAATTCCTGTGGAATGATTGGTGTCTGGGAAGCTAACTTGCGTCGAATCGGTTCTCGATTTTGGGCCCAACTTGAGCCCAACTGGGGTCCAGCATTGGGCTCGTTTGAACGCAAGCTGGTCTAACGTGCAGCGGTCCGGAAAAGCAAGCACCCAAAACGCACTCTAATTGTAGACATTGCGGTCCGGAAAGACATGCAGCGGTCCGGAAAAGCGAGCACCCAAAACGTACTCTAACTGTAGACATTGCGGTCCGGAAAGACATGCAGCGGTCCGGAAAAGCAAGCACCCAAAACGTACTCTAACTGTAGACATTGCGGTCCGGAAAGACATGCAGCGGTCCGGAAAAGCAAGCACCCAAAACGTACTCTAACTGTAGACATTGCGGTCCGGAAAGACATGCAGCGGTCCGGAAAAGCAAGCACCCAAAACGCACTCTAACTGTAGACATTGCGGTCCGGAAAGACATGCAGCGGTCCGGAAAAGCAAGCACCCAAAACGTACTCTAACTGTAGACATTGCGGTCCGGAAAGACATGCAGCGGTCCGGAAAAGCAAGCACCCAAAACGCACTCTAATTGTAGACATTGCGGTCCGGAAAGACATGCAGCGGTCCGGAAAAGAGGATAGCACGAGACACAGATGGAGACAAACAGAAGGCGAGAGAGAGAGAGAGAGAGACAGAGAGAGGAAGAGGGAGAGGAGAGAGAGAGCGCGTTGTAAATGGTGAGCAGCGGGTGTTTCAGAGTGGTTTCAGACCGGTTTCAGACCCTTTTGGGGGCGCTCACGGGGCTTTGCTCTTTTCCTAGAAAAGAGGCTGAACTTAATGCTCCGGCAAAGAAACCAAAACAAAAAAATCAACACATCATTCCTGCAACTAAAAAACGAAATAAAGCAATGATGCTGTAACCGAAGAAGCAAAGATTCTGAGATGGTGAGCCGGAAGGTGTTTCAGAGTGGTTTCAGACCGGTTTCAAACCCTTTTGGGGGCGCTCACGGGGCTTTGCTCTTTTCCTAGAAAAGAGGCTGAACTTAATGCTCCGGCAATGAAACCAAAACAAAAAAATCAACACATCATTCCTGCAACTAAAAAACGAAATAAAGCAATGATGCTGTAACCGAAGAAGCAAAGATTCTGAGATGGTGAGCGGAAGGTGTTTCCGAGTGGTTTCAGACCGGTTTCAGACCCTTTTGGGGGCGCTCATGGGCTGTGCCCTCTGTCCGGAAATCCCCAAGGTGAATTAAAAAATAACACAAGCTTATTCGCTTTAAGGGAAGTGTGACAAAATAGAGGGTGTCGAAGTCCCTCTTCCAGTAGTAGTAGTAGTAGTAGTAGTAGTACTAGTAGTACTAGTAGTACTAGTAGTACTAGTAGTACTAGTAGTACTAGTAGTACTAGTAGTACTAGTAGTACTAGTAGTAGTAGCAGTGGTAGGAGGACTAGTAGTACTAGTAGTACTAGTAGTACTAGTAGTACTAGTAGTACTAGTAGTACTAGAAGTACTAGTAGTTCTAGTCGTACTAGTATTACTAGTAGTACTAGAAGTACTAGTAGTTCTAGTCGTACTAGTAGTACTAGTAGTACTAGTAACACTAGTAGTACTAGTAGTAGTAGTAGTAGTAGTACTAGTAGCACTAGTAGTACTAGTAGTACTAGTAGTACTAGTAGTAGCAGTAGTACTAGTAGTACTTGTAGTAGCAGTAGTAGCAGCAGCAGCAGTAGTAGTAGCAGCAGCAGGAGTAGTAGTAGTAGTAGCAGTAGTAGTAGTAGTAGTAGTCAAAGAAATAATAATAATAGTAGTAATAATTTTGAAAAAATCATACCCATTTTAAAGACAATAATAATTTTAGTATTAGTAATAACAATAACAATAGTAGCGGTAATAAAAACAATAACAACAACAATAATAGTAGAAGTTCGTTAATATTAAAAGTAAGAATGGTAGTATTAGTAGTAGTCGTAGAAAGCTGGAGCTACCCTGAGTCTGTAAATTGGAAGCGACTGCCCAACTGGTCTGAAACAAGTCTGAAAAGGGTCTGAAAACACAGAAAAATGCCATTCGCAAGCCCACCCACATACATAGATAGAGTAAGTAGTAGTGGTAGTAGTAGTAGTAGTAGTAGGACGAGTAGGACGAGTAGGACGAGTAGGACGAGTAGGACGAGTAGGACGAGTAGGACGAGTAGGACGAGTAGGACGAGTAGGACGAGTAGGACGAGTAGGACGAGTAGGACGAGTAGGACGAGTAGGACGAGTAGGACGAGTAGTACTAGTAGTACTAGTAGTACGAGTAGTACTAGTAGTACTAGTAGTACTAGTAGTAGCAGCAGTAGTTCTTGTAGTTCTTGTAGTTCTTGTAGTAGTAGTAGTAGTAGCAGCAGCAGCAGTAGTAGTAGTATGACAACATATTTTCCTACTTAAGGGGGTATCGCTCTTCAAGGCTCCCTATCGCTCCCCACAGGAAATCACAGATTTTTGAAAGTGACGGCGGCCGAATACTAAATCTGTACATACCATCTTTTGACCCTTGCTCATATGTTGAACGTAGTGCTTTCAAGAGGACAGTGATGAAATCTACAAAATGACTCAATATGCCAATTTCTTTACATGTTTAACGTACTGCTGTGTAGGGTCGGGGGGTCGCAACTTTCAAAAATGACTCAAGATGAATTGTCTTAATTTGCTCAACGTATTGTTTTGTTGTAGGGCAGGGGAAGGAAATGACATTTGAATCATGACTCGAAATGCCAAGTTAGCTCTAATGTTGAATGGACGTAGTGTTTTGTAGGGGACAGGCGGGCAAGTTTGTAGCAATGACTCGACTCAACGTGTCAACTTTATGGTAAGGTCAGGGGGAATAAATTTCAAAACTGGCCCAAGATCTCAATTTGTTTCATGTGTTCAACATTCATATTGTTTTGTGGCGGGGGGAGGCATAAAAAAAATGAACTGACTTAACCCTTCATCTGTGTTCATAGTCAACGTGTTGCTTCGCAAGGGAGGAAAATATATTTTAAAGGCAGCTCAAGATGCTACGTTGGTTCATATGTTCAACTATGTTAAACGTAGTGTTTTGATGAGGTAAACCGATCAGAAGAACTCAGCCAGTCAACTTTTTCCATAAGTTCAACATATTACCTGGTAGGGTCGATGGGTGGTAAATCACAAAATTGACTCAAAATGCCAATTTTCTTCGTCTGTTCAGCGTATTGTTTTGTAGGGTAGGGTAGGGGGGGCTGAAATATGTGACAATAAAACAACACTTTTGACTTTGTTCAAAAATTCAACGTGTTGTTTTGTGAGGAAGGATTCGACATGTTCAACATGATTCAAGATGCCCAGTTCGTTTACATGTTGAACGTATTGCCTTGTAGGGGATGTGTTTGAAAATCTATATAACACTATCTAAATGTGTCAACTGTTCGTATAATGTATGTTGAACCTATTGCTTTGCAGGGCTGATGGAAGGTAATTTTTTTCCCACTCTTACGCGCTATATGTTCTGAATAGTTTACGACATACCATCTGGAAGTATTTATGGCAAATATATTCTGATATTCTATCTGACATTCTTTCTGGCATTGTATCTGACGTATATTCTGCCATCCTGTTTGTTCGGGTCCAGGCGCGCTCCACAGCCTCCTGAGCGCGCGCTATGGCTGTCGGGTCCAGGCATCCTGATCTCGCGGCATGGCACTCAGGTCGAGCCGCACTCCACAGCATCCACAGCCGGCGAGGAAGAAGAGAAGGAGAGGAAGGAGAGGAAGAAGAGGAAGGAGTCGCACCTTTGTTAAAATCTAGAAACCTTCACCTGGCAGGTGGGGAAAAAGAACTCAAGATGAGCCATTCTGAAAACCTTCAGTCACTCCCTATGTCGTATCATTTTGGGTATGCCAAAGCTTACGCCATGCTTACGCGCGTAGAGTTTTTCCTTACGCGAAACGAATTGAGGAAACCCTTACGCAAAGTCCTTGCGCGGCCTTACACAAGAGGGTTTTGCTTACGCCAAACGCGTTTTGACAAGGCACTCACTGAAAATGTAAAGGGAGGTTTTTAGAGCGGCTCAGATAGAAGTCTTGTTCTGCTTTCAAATGTATTGTTTTGTGGAGGTTTGGGGGTGCAAAAAATTGACATAATGTCATAATGTGTTCAATATTCAAGGCAATAATATGCAGGGGAGGAAAAGAACATTTTAAACATGACTCAAGATGCCAAGTTGTTTTAATATGCTGAATGTATTGCCTTGTAGGGTCGAGGGGTGGGTAAATTTTAGAAATGACTTGAGATGACAATTTTGTTGGTTCAACATATTGTTTTGTAACGTCGGAAGCGCAAAAAATCTTGATGACTCGGACTCGACTTGTCAATCTACTTCATTTGTTCAACATATTTAAGGTCGAGGGTGGTATATTTCAAAAATGACTCAAGATGCCAAGTTGGGTCGTATGTTGAATGTGGCGGTTTGTACAGGGCAGGAGGAAGTGGAAGAAATCATAACAATGACCCAAAATGCCAACTATGATCACATGTTCAAGGTATTGCAGTGTAGGGTCACGGAATTGTAAATGTCGAAAGCCCATTCTTTGGTTTGTTCGAGGTATTGTTTTCAGGGGAAGGAGAGGAGTTCAAAATATAAAGATGACGTGACATTTCTACTTTGTTCATATATTCAACGTATTGGTTTGCAAAGGTAGGGAAAGGACATGTAAAACATGGCTCGAGATGGCTTGTTCATGCTGAACGATGTTGAATGTAGTGTTTTGTAGGGGCCAGCATGTATATATTGCTTGGTTGGGCCCAGGGGGGATAAATTTCAAAAAAGGACTCCACATGTCAACTTTCTTCATACGTTGAACGTATTGCATTGTAGGGTCGACGAGTTGCAAATTTCAATCATGACTCAAGATGCCAACTTTCTTCATCTGTTCAACGTATTGTCTTGTTGTAGGGGAAGGAAAAGACATTTCAAACATGACTCAAGATGCCAAGTTGGTTCATATGTTGAACATAGTGTTTTGTCTGGAGAAGGGACTAAATCTATAAGAATGACTAGCAGAATGACTCGACAGGTCAACTTGCTTCATATGTTGAACGTGTTGTGTTGTAGGGCCGAGGGAGGTACGAGTAAATAAAACATGGCTCAAGATAAATCAAAATGACAAGTTTGGGGTTGGTCGGACATGGTCGGAGTAAAACAACACAAATGAAATCTGGAGTTTGTTTCTAAACTCCTGTTCGGAACCTTCGGCGTCTGCGGCCCGAAGTTGGGGCACCTCTACTGCCATCAATGTCCTATTTTCTCCAATTTTGGGGTTTCAATCATGTCATATCACGAACCTGGTAGGATTTCCTGGACTTTTCTCGCCATCTCATTGCACCCAATCAATAATCATGAGCAATCCCATCAAATCCCATGAAATCCCACTACCCCCTCATAAATTAACATTTTGTGGAAACTAACATGAACCCCCTTATCTGCCAGGGTCTGGAGGGTAAATCCCAGGTGGAAATCCCCTTGGGTCATCGGGAAATCCTTGCAGATGCAGGAGATGTGTAGTAGGCCATGACTTTGGGCGCCGATGTCCACTATGGCACCGAAGTCCAGGACAGATTTCACGGTGCCATGGTACTTCCTGAGGGGTTCAATAGGGGGTTGAATGCAATGTAAATGGGATATTAAGGGGATTTTATGGAATTTGATTCAGTTTATCTGATTTGTTCATGGGATTTAAGGGGATTTACTGGAATTTAATGGGATATTAATGGGATATAAAGGATATGTAATGGAGTTTCATGGTTTTATGTTTTAATTGTATATACTGTAATTAGATGGAATATGAATGCGATTTTATGATGGATCTATTTGAAAGTAACATTCAATAAGGTGAGTGGTGAGGCTCAGTGGGTGAATTGATTTCTTCATTGGGTGTGTTTTATGAATCTGAACCATAATAACCCCGTATGTGTATACGATACCGACGATATTTTAAATAGATAGTATATTACATCAGAAAGTGAATAAACAACCTATACTATATACCTATGTCAGTCAATTGTCCAAATACAAGTAGAGGATGAGATGCCGTAATATCAGCCTGGGGATAGATGGGTTTGGGAAACAACGGGGGCATCTGAAAACAAATACCCTCCGGCAGTCAACCATGGGAAAACCACTCCACTATTTCATGATAGGCACATGTACTTATTATTTTCAATGGTAAAATCATCGAACTAAGCCATGTCAAACCATAGAAACCAGTATTTATGAAGGATTTCCTCCTAGTTTCCCATTAAACCCTCCATGGCATGGATCACCTCAAGCCAAGGCAACCAAGGCACTGGCCCACCTCGAGTTTGTCGTAAGGAATGCGTTTATATTTCATGTCCTTCCGGTGCACGGACAGGGACCATGGGATCGACAGTGATATGGAAATCACCCCTGGAACTCACGAATAGAACCATGTAACATACATCATTGATATTGATCATTAGTGTCATTATTTTATGAAATTTCTACAGTGTTTTTCCCCACCTGCCAGGTGAGGGTTGTTAGATTTTATGTCAGTTGCCTCCTCCTGCCTCGTCCTCCTCTCGTCCTCCTCCTCTCCTCCTCGTCCTCCTCGTCCTCCTTGTCATCCTTGTCGTCCTCTCGTTGTCCTCGTCGTCCTCGTTGTCCTCCTCGTCCTCCTGCTCAACTGCGACTCGCGATCCACAGTGTTCGCTGCCGGACCTCAACCACGACCATCCACGCCCAGTGTTCCCTGCCGGACCTCAACCACGACCATCCACGCCCAATGTCCCCTGCCGGACCTCAACCACGACCATCCTCGCCCAGTGTTCCCTGCCGGACCTCAACCACGACCATCCACGCCCAGTGTTCCCTGCCGGGCCTCAACCGCGAGTATCCACGCCAAGTGTTCCCTGCCGGACCTCATGTAGGAAGATATGGGACAAAGAATGTGCAGAAGAAAGTTAGAAAGCATGTCAGAAAGAATGTCAGAAGATATGCCAGAAGATATGCCAGATAGAATGCCAAATAGAATGCCAGATTGAATGCCAGAAGATATGTCAGAATATATGCCAGAAGATATGCCAGATAGAATGCCAGATAATATGCCAGAAGATATGCCAGATAGAATGCCAGATAGAATGACAGAAGATTTGCCAGATAGAATGCCAGAAAATATGCCAGAAGATATGCCAGATAGATATGTCAGAAGATATGCCAGAAGATATGCCAGAAGATATGCCAGAAGATATGTCAGAATATATGCCAGAAGATATGTCAGATAGAATGCCAGAAGATATGTCAGAATATATGCCAGAAGATATGCCAGATAGAATGCCAGAATGCATGCCAGAAGATATGTCAGATAGAGTGCCAGAAGATATGCCAGATAGAATGCCAGAAGATTTGCCAGATAGAATGCCAGAAGATATGCCAGAAGATATGCCAGATCATATGCCAGAAGATATGCCAGATAGAATGCAAATAGAATGTCAGAAGATATGTCAGATAGAATGCCAGAAGATTTGCCAGTAAGAAAATGTATAAATGTCATGGTGGGGATCACACGAAGTAAAGTAATTTAATATGTTTTAATCATGATGCTACAGTGTACAATACTATTGAATATCGTAGTCGTAGTATTTTATTTGATGTTAATGTGTAGAAATCATTATATTATTAAAATTATTCATCCACAGTACCAGTTGGTGGATTTTGCAACAAGTTGTGACGTGAACATGTGAACATCAAAGCAAGAAATCTCAACATTACAATGCAATTTTTCGGTGGATATGCTAGACGTCCTGGGATTGTGAGATTTCAACAAAAAGGAAACGATCAACCAAACATCGTTCAACCATGGGTTTGGCCCCAGCATGAACGCATTCCAAAGAATATATCATTAGCAACTAAAATAAATAATATATAAGTATATATAAGTATAATATATATATATATGTGTAAACATGTGGAAACTTATTTGTCCAAATAAGCATAGAGATGTCTAGCCCGAACTAGGAACATCAATAACATGCAATCAAATGCATATTTAATATATGAGCTCCCGTCAAAATCCCTTACATCTGAGTAGTTGCTACAGTATTTTTATGGTTCTCGCTTTTTGGTGGGGCCCTATCGTTTTCCAGGGTTTTGTGGAAATCAGCATCTTCGAGATCCAATATGAAGCCAAAATCCATTCCTAAACAGGCTCGGAAATGGATCGAGCATGATCGAGCAGTTGTTTTGTTGGTTTCAGGTGCTTCGGCAACACTTCATGTTCCTTTCGTGTTGCATTTGCATGCATTTTCTTTCATCTTCCTTTCATTTGCATGCATTTTGCTTTCATTTTGCATTCATGTCCTTTAATGTCCTTTCTAAAGTTGTAGAAATGGCACTACGGCCAACACATGGTTATCGCTAAGGTTATTGCTAAATAACCCCTCCAAAATATGACATTGTTCGAAGGAAATTTGCCACAAAACAACAGAGAGAGAGAGAGAGAAACAAAAAGAAAGAAAGAAAGAAAGAGCGAGTGAGTTGGATGCCAAATTCTATGGTAACTGCAGGAAATAGGGCACCACAGGTTGAATTTCCCTCATCGGTTTTGCCTGTTTAATGGACTGTCGTGTATGGTCCCAGGTTGTCGCCTTGGGGGGGGCCTATCGCTTTACAGTGTTTCGTGCACATCTCTGACAAAAAAAATCCTGCAATACTAAAGTAGTCTTCAACCATTTTGACCATAGCTCACATATATATATATATATGTATATAATCCCATTACTAGTGGAATTATCACTGGGAAAATTCACAAAAAAAAAAACGCACTCTGCAAATCCTGTCGCCTAGCTCGACTGTCGGATGAAATCCTGTGGTAGACAGTTGATGAAATCCCGTAGCAATGGGATGATGTCTATGACCCCCAATCATGGTTAAGGGGATGGTTTGTTATATTTTAATATTGGGTTTGCCACATCAGCCGTCAAAGACTATGTTCTCACAGTTCCCAAGGGTAATTTTGTCACTTCGGCAGTAGATTGCTGACCTTGGTCATTGGATATCGCATGCCATGGCGCCTGCATGAGCCTCATCATCTCCTCTCTCAACTCCGTTGCTGCCTCCTCTTGCCTACACCCCATGCCGACATGGCACAACTGATCTGGTTGATGCTCACTGCATTTTGGGGATGTCTTGGTACCCCTGATATTCCCTGATACCCCTGATTGTCTGATTGTCGCCGCAAATGTAAGTCTATGATTCCGTCTATGATCATTTGTATTAGGATGACATTTGACGTACCAACTGTGAGCTCACAACATGACATATTATGAATGATACTCAGAAACTTTGCCCAGGCGCTATCCTGAGGATGCCTTTCTGTGTGATGAAATACAAGTACCATAAGTACATCCATCAACTACTCTTGCAAGGTTTTCATAGGTTTTCATGACCATCAACTTTGTGCAATGGCATAATATATCATAATATGACACCTATGCGCTTCTCTTTGCCATCGGATCTTCTCTTCTTCGGACTTTTCCAATCGCACCTGGCCGAAGAATGATAGGAATGATTAACTGGATCAGTGTCTGCAGGGTAACTTTCCCTCAGACGAAATTGACTAATTAAATTGAATGTGACAAAGATTAAGTGGAACAAGTCAGACATTTGCTTTGATGCAATGTTCAGTCTCCGCTTTGGACTGTTTCGATTTCAATCTGTCTGTTGACCGGGACAGCACACCGAAGACGAGGATATCCAAACGGCAAAACATGAGGATCAAACAAATGAACATGATTGAAAACGCGGAGGTGCATTGCAAAAAAAAATATGCAAGGAAACATGATGATGATAGTAGTGGTGGTGATGATGGTGGTGGTGGTGGTGGCGGCAGATGCTGACAGTGACGGCGATGGTGATCATGAGGACGAAAGGACCATGAGTACGGCAACGACCTTGCCGACAACAATGTCTCAATCGGCCTTGCTTGGATGAAATGCTGGAAGGATTCCATGGTAATCTCATGGAATGCATTGAATTAGAACAGTAGCATATCCTTTGCATGCCTTGCCTTCTTGCATACACATACATCTAACGTCACAGATTGTGTGGACCAAAAAAAATCGGGTCAAAAAAGCACATGCCCTGGCTCAAGACTTGCGATATCACGCGCACGATTCCAGTACGAATGGTCCGCATCTTGCAGCTGCAACATGCGATGAATTGCTACATGGCGATGTATCCAAAGTGGCGACATTCAAATCATCTCAGCTGGTATTCCATCCCAAATTCCACTGCTCTGTGCAAAAACAGTTTAGTGCAAGTGTGGATGCTGAACTGAGTGGAGATCTAGTGCGCCTGTATTGCGCCTCAGGCCACATATTATAGCTACTGCGTCAACATGCTTGGATGATCAAACGGATGTTCAATGACCTGTCCGTTTCACCAACTTGGCTGCAGCATGCTGCAGCCTTCACAGCCTGGCCTGGAGCTCTTGGACCAATGCTTGAAGATCATTGCGCTGCGTCAGCGAGTGATCGTCCTGGACTGATACCTGGTACCAGTCTTCGTTGAGACTTTCAGCAGCTCGTCTTGAGATGGCTGATGATATATCGCATGTAAAGATCTTGTTGGATTGCACTTGGAAAGTTCTTGTCTGATCGCGATGGATCCTTCCTTGAAAACAAGTCTTCATCAACGCCACCAAGTTTGCCCAGGCCTCTTCGGGACTTGACGGTTCGTCCTCGCTTCCCTGCGCAAATTGCTACGGCTGGAAAATGTTGGAAACTTGGTCAGTTAGGCAGCCCGAGTCAAAGCAATGCAACTTTGCGGGAAAGGTATTGCGATTGTTCACGCCGTTGCTTGACAGGCCATACAACATGCCACTATGTATTCAAATTCAAATTTATAGGGTAAACAGCGTTGCGGATCATGTGGTGTTCGTAACAGGAATTGGGTTGGCCTGGACCGCGGAATCAGTGTTTGCAGCACCAGTGCTTTCAGTAATGTTGAGTCCTGATTAGTACCTAGGGTCGCTATTGTGGCAAATTTTTTCCAAATTATTCTGAAACTCATGTATTGTTTGGAGGGTTCGCTTTTGTGGCAAAACAAAATTGGGAGAGCCCTTTTTTTTGCAAAAAAAACTGTAATTGCTGAGAGGCATTTTTTCTCAAAAACGCTGTAGCTCAGTCAATTTTTTGCTCATCTCCCTATCTGAGCCTGTAAATGCATCTCTATCTGAGTAGGTTTGTTTGCTGGGTTCACTATTGCCGCAAGCTGTGCCAGAGCAGCCCCTGAAGAAGGGAAGCAAGCCATTTCCAAAATTGCCAAATTCAAACTGCAAGCCTTTCCCAAAAGAACCAATCCCTTATTAAACCCTTATTAAAGAACAGCTTTCCCACAATTTTCCAAGGCCCTGGACCAGTAGAGGCCCCATTTCACTTTAGTAGGTTTGTTTGCTGGGTTCACTATTGCAGCAAGCTGTGCCAGAGCAGCCCCTGAAGAAGGGAAGCAAGCCATTTCCAAAATTGCCAAATTCAAACTGCAAGCCTTTCCCAAAAGAACCAATCCCTTATTAAACCCTTATTAAAGAACAGCTTTCCCACAATTTTCCAAGGCCCTGGACCAGTAGAGGCCCCATTTCACTTTAGTAGGTTTGTTTGCTGGGCCATTTCACTATTGCCAAGCTGTGCCAGAGCCCTGGACCTGCAGAAGGGTTCACTATTGCAAGCTGTGCCCATTTCCAAAATTGCCAAATTCAAACTGCAAGCCTTTCCCAAAAGAACCAATCCCTTATTAAACCCTTATTAAAGAACAGCTTTTCCACAATTTTCCAAGGCCCTGGACCAGTAGAGGCCCCATTTCACTTTAGTAGGTTTGTTTGCTGGGTTCACTATTGCAGCAAGCTGTGCCAGAGCAGCCCCTGAAGAAGGGAAGCAAGCCATTTCCAAAATTGCCAAATTCAAACTGCAAGCCTTTCCCAAAAGAACCAATCCCTTATTAAACCCTTATTAAAGAACAGCTTTCCCACAATTTTCCAAGGCCCTGGACCAGTAGAGGCCCCATTTCACTTTAGTAGGTTTGTTTGCTGGGTTCACTATTGCAGCAAGCTGTGCCAGAGCAGCCCCTGGAAGCCCAGAAGGGAAGCAAGCCATTTCCAAAATTGCCAAATTCAAACTCCAAGCCTTTCCCAAGAGAACCAATCCCTTATTAAACCCTTATTAAAGAACAGCTTTTCCACAATTTTCCAAGGCCCTGGACCAGGAGAGGCTCCATTTCACTTTAGTAGGTTTGTTTGCTGGGTTCACTATTGCAGCAAACTGGGCATGAGCTGGTTCAGTGTCTCTTGAGATTTAGCTGAGTATAAGCTAAACATGGGCTGAGCATGAGCTGAGCATGTGCTGCATGTACTAAGTACTACATGTACTACAAGTACTACAAGTACTACATGTACTACAAGTACTACATGTACTACAAGTACTACAAATACCACAACTTCATCGGCCAAAAAAAACAAAAGTAATTAGATTTCAATTGTAGCCAATTGAAATCCTTACTTAATTGAGGATATGTTTATCTTTTGGGAAGAAAATTTTTGACTTTCTACTTTAAAGAGAGTCCAGAAATAGTTTAAGGGGGGGGGGCCACACACTAATCAGGACGCCTGGTTTGCAGCACCAGTGCTTTCAGTAGAGGTGTCCTGTGGCGTGCTGCATTACTTTGACCGCAAGTCCTAAGAAAACCCCCAGTTGCACCTCAATCCTCCAATTGAATCACACATCCGATTGATAATTTCTCCCGCTGGTGCATTTTGTTTAACATGACATGCACTTTTAGATCCGAGTCAAAGAACATCCAATTTCGGTGCCCCACGTTCCCTTTTCTGAGCACCCTCAGTGGACTCCATGGGCCACACAAAAGATGCACAAGGCCCAAAACTCCTCCTCCTCCTCCAAATTTTCCAGCAAATCTCTGACGCGCTGTTCAAACTCTTCCTGGTCCAACGATGACATTGAATGGAAATCAAGTGGTGGCATGTTGGTCGAGGTTTGGCATGGTTTTAAGACGGCTTTAGCACCATTTCTCAGATGGAACTTACGCAACATTACAAAGTTTGATTGTGACAACATTTCAAGTTCTGTCTCTCACAATGCAATAAGAAAGACAACGCAGCTCGAGCCTCGCGCTGATGCGCTGGGGCCTGAATTGCCATTTGAAGGCTGAAATGAGGTGAAAGAGTCTGAAGACTTGCGCAATGTGCAGGTGTGAGTCAACATCTTTTTCGAGGACCTCTAGCCCACACCAAGGCTGAAAAAAAGCATCAACTCCCCTGGCCTCTGGGACCATCTGCACAGCTCCTTCGAGGAAACCGAGCCAGTCCTCCAGGTCTTGAAGCGAAATGGCCATGCTCATCATGACATGTTTCAGCAAATAAGATGGTCAGAAGTAACCACAAATCATACGTGTATGTGTATACTGTTTACATATAATCATATATATATATACATCATATGTTTATGTAAATAAATATGGATATATACAAATATAATTACACATATAATTATATGTATGTGTATCTCGTCTTTAGGCGAATTTGACGGCACCAATCTTCAACAATTTCACGGTGCTCCTCGAGGTGAACGTAGCTCTTGTCGCCGCTTAACACGGGGAAGATGTCAACTGGAAGGCCCTTAGTCCGTAGGGAGGTTTCCTAAAATGAGGGTACCCCAAACCATCCGTTTTCATGGATTTTCCATGATAAACCATCCAGGGGTACCCCTATTTATGGAAACTCCCATATCTCCATGTCCACTCGCACGTGACGGACACCGTTCGCTGAGCTTGTGACGACGGAGTTCGCGACGCTTGTGAACGTCCCCGCGAACAAAGTGTCACTGGCGCGAGGATTGGAGCAGGAGTTCCAAACATCAGCTGAATTTTCTCTCACTTTATTGTTCATTGCAATGTTCAACTCAATGATCAATTCAAACGGAACAAACGGAATGAAATTACAAGCGTTCCCCCCCGACTCATGCCCCATCCCATGGCCTTCCTCTGCCAGCGAAGTGCACGAAGGCATCGGTAGCACCTGAATGCAAGAAGATGTGTAAAATATCATCTGTACCATATAGTACTATAGTATATAGGTCCGGAATTGTTTTGGGAACTATTTTTTCTGTTTTGGGATTTTTTTTGATCTCTGTCCTGTCCGTTTCCCTTGCATGTTGCAGCATTTTGGAGCTGGAAGCTGCCATTTCAATTGTATTTTGCAACATTGTGGAGTTCGAACCTCTAATTTTCCCTAGTATTTGCAACATGTTGGTGCTTGAATGAACTGTCGAACTGTTCGTGTCCCATGTGTTTCTTGCAACTATAGGATTCATTTGGGTTGGTTTGGGGTTGGTTTATTTAGTTTTGGCTTAGGGTTGATTTTCGGGTTGGTTTAGTTCTTGTCAGGTTGGTTTAGAAGATTCTGGGTTGGTTTTAGAATTGGTTTAGAGTTGGTTTAGGGTTCGTTTAGGGTTTGTTTAGGTTTGGTTTAAGGTCTATTTAGCCTCTGTTTAAGATCTATGTAAAATTTGTTTAAGGTTTATCGAAGCTTGGTTCAGGGCTTATTGAGGCTTGGCTTGAGATCTATTTAAGGTTGGTTTAGGATTTGTCTGGGACGAATTTTCACATTTACTTAGGGTTCCCTTAGGGCCATCTTAGTTTTTTTGGGTTTATTTTGGGGTCTATTTAAGATTGGTTTAGGGTTTATTCACATAATGTATCTTAGTTCAGGCTTAAGAAACAAAAAACAGGAAAAGCAGAGAAGCAGAAAAGCGGAGAAACAGAACAGCAAAGAAGCAGACACGCAGACAAGCAAAAAAGCAGGGAAAGCAGAGAAGCAAAGAAGCAGGGAAAGCAGAGAAGCAAAGAAGCAGGGAAAGGCAGAGAAGCAAAGAAGCAGGGAAAAGCAGAGAAGCAAAGCAAAGAAGCAGGAAAACAGAAATCCAAGAAACAAATACAAACACCAAAAAAAACATATTCCCAAAATGAATAAACCTCCATTCAGAGAAGAGCTGAGAAGATTTGAGGGTTCATTCCACCTCCAGTCAAACTTGTCCTTCACTCCTAGTATAGGACTCCTTCCTGCTGCAACCGCAAACCCTCGGGGCCCGAACTGACTTCCGGCCAAAGCCTTGTCAGGTGTGCACAGAACGCCTCAACCTGATGGATTGGTGAGCAAGGAGGGCCCAGTGATAGATAAATAGATGTACATATACATATACATATGTGTGTATGTATGTAGGTATGTATGTAATGTAATGTAATGTAAATGTAAATGTAAATGTAAATGTAATGTAATGTGATGTAATGTGATGTAATGTAATGTTATGTTATGTTATGTATGATATGTTATGTTATGTTATGTTGTGTTGTGTTGTGTTGTGTTGTGTTGTGTTATGTAATGTAATGTAATGTATGTATATATATATATGTATATGTATATATTTTTTTTTTTGGAATGGGTAGCTTACACCGTCGGATCAATGCAGCCCTTCAGTGTTGGAGCTGCCTGTCAAGTTGGGCGAAAAATCTGCTGAAGGAAAATGTAATTTGTCTAGATTGATACGGATAAGACATCTTGAATAACCCAGCAAGCAGACGACCTTCCTCTGGATTGTGCCCAAGCACAGCAAGAATTGGAAGAGAGCAAACTGTATACATGTATATGCTAAAATATATGCGTACATACATATATACTTAAAATTTACATACATTCAATTATTCATATATATTCGCATGATTATGGTTGTTCGGTATGGTTCAGAAAAATGTGCCTCGTATAATCGGCTTGTACATCTTGTGATAATTCAAACTCTGAATGACACTGTGACCATTCAGTCTGTGCAGCTGATACTTGGTGAATATAATAATATGTATATATATAATATATTCTTATTGTACATACCAATACCTATATATATATTATTATATATTATCTTCCCAAATGATCTCAACATATGGGGGCTGTTCTAAACCTAAGTAGTTTTTTGCGTTACTTTATCCATCTTGCGCTCGCCCTTGCGCCTTCTTGCGCTTCCCAGGGTTTTAGCGCAAAATCATATCCGAATACTAATTTAGTTTACTTTGCATTTCATGAGGCATGTCTGGCTCAAGTGACGTTTACAATAGATAGGGTCTTCATTTGTAGGCACTTATTTCCTCCTTTTCTGAATTGCTGCCACAATGTACTGGGAAGTGCTTTGTGCAAGCTTTGAAGTACAAAGTAGTACTGGGAAGTGCTTTGTGCAAGCTTTGTAGTACACAGTAGTACTGGGAAGTGCTTTGTGCAAGCTTTGCAGTACAAAGTAGTACTGGGAAGTAGTTTGTGCAAGCTTTGTAGTACAAAGTAGTACTGGGAAGTAGTTTGTGCAAGCTTTGTAGTGCACAGTAGTACTGGGAAGTGGTTTGTGCAAGCTTTGTAGTACACAGTAGTACTGGGAAGTAGTTTGTGCAAGCTTTGTAGTACAAAGTAGTACTGGGAAGTACTTTGTGCACGCTTTGTAGTACAAAGTAGTACTGGGAAGTGCTTTGTGCAAGCTTTGTAGTACACAGTAGTACTGCGAAGTAGTTTGTGCAAGCTTTGTAGTACACAGTAGTACTGGGAAGTGGTTTGTGCAAGCTTTGTAGTACACAGTAGTACTGGGAAGTAGTTTGTGCAAGCTTTGTAGTACAAAGTAGTACTGAGAAGTGGTTTGTGCAAGCTTTGTAGTACAAAGTAGTACTGGGAAGTGGTGTGTGCAAGCTTTGTAGTACACAGTAGTACTGGGAAGTAGTTTGTGCAAGCTTTGTAGTACAAAGTAGTACTGGGAAGTGGTGTGTGCAAGCTTTGTAGTACACAGTAGTACTGGGAAGTAGTTTGTGCAAGCTTTGTAGTTAGTACTAGTACACAGTAGTACTGGGAAGTAGTTTGTGCACGCTTTGTAGTACAAAGTAGTACTGGGAAGTGGTTTGTGCAAGCTTTGTAGTACACAGTAGTACTGGGAAGTAGTTTGTGCAAGCTTTGTAGTACACAGTAGTACTGGGAAGTGGTTTGTGCAAGCTTTGTAGTACACAGTAGTACTGGGAAGTAGTTTGTGCAAGCTTTGTAGTACACAGTAGTACTGGGAAGTGGTTTGTGCAAGCTTTGTAGTACACAGTAGTACTGGGAAGAAGTTTGTGCAAGCTTTGTTTCGCGACTTTCCTACCTTTTCGCGCATCTGTATCTTCTGTCCTCTTACTCTTTCTCTTCTGATCTTCTCTCTTCTAATCCTCCTCTTCTCTCTGCCTCTGCCCTGCTCTGCTTTTCATCTGTCCATATTGTCGGAAGTTTGACTTCTAAACTTCCTTCGATAATAATGTGTATATATAATTATATATATATACTCTTCCCAAATGATCTCAACCATCTTCCAACCATCCCTCGGCCGCCTCCGACTGTGATGCTATTGGAGAAGAGCTTGGCACTGATGCACCAAGAGTTTGCGCTTCGACCGGCAGCAAGCTGCTTTCACTTCCCGTGGCCTGTTCAGAGCCTGGACTAAGCTGAAAGTCTCCGGGGTTCAACTCCGGCCAGCCTTCTTCAGCGTCCCACCAGTCGTGAGTTGATTGCCTCACGTCTGTTTCATCTCCAGTTGCGACATCATCTCCTGTTTTTGGCACTTGCCCTTCAACTTCAACCGTTTCAACCTCCTTGACATTGGCTTTCTCTGGCTCCGCAATTTCCCTATCATCCTGGTCCTCTGGCACTTTGACAGCGGAAGACCCTCCGTTCCCCTCGCTGCTATCAAGGCCATCTGCGGACTGCTTGATGAGCGAGTTTTCGGCCTGGCAAGTTGTTTCACAGCGTGGTAAAGAAAAGGTGCTTCAGCCACTTTGGATACACAAAGCAAACCCCCTATTTTGACAGGCTTTGACATGTTTTGACCGGTTTTGATATGTTTTGACATGTTATGACATGTTTAGACCGTATTTATGCACATCACCATAATTGTCCCTTGGGTATGCATATGTCATATGTACATACATACTATATATATATATGTTTATATATATATATGCCAGAACATATGCCAGAAGATATGCCAGGTAGAATGCCAGAAGATATGCCAGATAGAATGCCAGAAGGTATGTCAGATAGAATGCCAGAAGATTTGCCAGTAACAAAACGTATAAATGTCATGGTGGGGATGACTCGAAGTAAAGTAATTTATGTATTTATTTACCCTTCCCAAATGATCTCAACATACAACCATCCCTCGGCCGCCTCCGACTGTGATGCTATTGGAGAAGAGCTTGGCACTGATGCACCAAGAGTTTGCGCTTCGACCGGCAGCAAGCTGCTTTCACTTCCCGTGGCCTGTTCAGGACCTGCTTCATTTTTCCAGGCCATATTTGTTGTCGTTGAAGGCTCTGTAGTATCCTTTGCACTAGGTTTTGACCTTGGATCTTCTCCATAGTCGGCTTCAAACTTCCCCCACCCTCTACCAAAGTACTCCCAGCCTCCCTCCCAGCCGTGAGTTGATTGCCTTCTCACGTCTGTTTCATCTCGAGGTTGAGAGTCCCCCTGTGAGTGGCCATCTGCGGACTGCTTGATGAGCGAGTTTTCGGCCTGGCAAGTTGTTTCACAGCGTGGTAAAGAAAAGGTGCTTCAGCCACTTTGGATACACAAAGCAAACCCCCTATTTTGACAGGCTTTGACATGTTTTGACCAGTTTTGATATGTTTTGACATGTTATGACATGTTTCGACCGTATTTATGCACATCACCATAATTGTCCCTTGGGTATGCATATGTCATATGTACATACATATTGTGTATATATACATATATATACACACTGTATACATGTATAAGTATACATATAATACAGAACAATACTATACATGTGTATAATTATATGGCTAGGGGATGATTTCGGATGTCCCTTTTTAAAACAGTTTTATTTCAGCATAACTTCGAGTCATATATCGTATGTGACGCTTGTACAAGAATAAAATACAAATAGAATACAATGCGCAAAATAGAATGCAACGCACACCTTTATATCTGCAAATAAACTGAAAAAAAAAACACACTTTCTGATCATCTTAAACTTTGTCCAAACATGAGTTTGCAAACAGAAGCTTTAGTTTGCAAACACTTGTCTCTTTATTTTTTATGTCATCATGTTTTGCTATGCCTGACATCTTTGTATACTTCTTTGCTTTCCTTCTTAAATAGGATTGTCTCTAGACGTCTGCTTTCTTTGCTTTATATTCTGGAGTTTCCTTAACTTTATGATAATACAGTCGGTATACAATGCCATTTGCTATCTAACCTCTTCAAGTGTTAAGTCTTCAGGTTTTCTAACGCTCATTCTTGATATCTATATATAAATTCATTTCTTAAATCCATTTTTCTAATTTGTAAAATTAGCTAAAAATATATGTTTAAAGAATTATCTACTATGATATAATTAATGTTGTGTTTAAAAAAACTATAAACAAAACGAAATATTGATGCTTTAAAAATTCTACGCGATAGTAAAAGAGGTAAAATTCCAAATACTATTCTGGATAAAGTGAATAAGATTGTAGATGTATGTATTTGAACAGCGCAGGATTACCTAGAGGGGAACAGCAGAAAACTTAATCAACAGCATTGCCACCAACAACACCAAGAAAAGGGAAAATGCAGTAGAAGAATATGAAAAGAAAATTGAAAAATATGATACAACACTACAAGCAGGTGAGCGCATGACAGAAAGAGCATCAAAAGCGAGAGAAGGAAAACAAATTAAAAATGGATTAAGAGAAAAAACCAAGGCATCGGGAACTGTAGGTATTATTCACTTGAATTTATGCTTTACTCATTGGAACCCATAGGTAGAATTATCAGAGGAAAGAAAATTAATGGTTTAGCGCACTGTATTATCCAATGTTTGAGGGTGGAATACCCAGACAAGCAAGTATCAAAGTAGGTGAATTTGTAGAAACACTGACTAACAGAACAGTAACTAAACAACAAGAAAAACCAATGTTTAAGAAACTCATGATGTTTTTAAAGACTGATAATGGATTAAGGGATGCCATGCCAGATATGTTAGATTATGTAGATGTCATTCAAATAACTAAAACTGAAAATGTTGAGGACGACGGCAGACCCTACAATATAGAAGATGAGGGATTGAGGGAAACATGTAATACTACCGTAGATGGACGAATTATTCAAACCCTTATACATAGAGCAACCCCCCTCACCCCAAATATCAATGTTATTTTCTTGTTTGGTTCGTTCCTTCGAATGGACGAAATAAATCAAACCCCCAGAGCAGGAACAGCGCTACGAAACCATAACATTGAAATTCGGGGGAGGTAGGGGGTGGCCTATAACTCATGGATAGGGGTTTGAATAATTTGTCCATCTACTGTAGCATGTATCATTTTTATCATGAGACCCTAATTGATGTTGAACGAGAAACTGTAAAAGATGCCATCCAGCATAACAAACAATATTAGAGAAAATGAATGTTGGATAAATGAATTACTTAAGACTTATGAAGGCACTGAACTAACTAAAGAAAAACGATGGTCACAGTCCAAGACATTATCAAGAAAGACCATATTAATATCATATTAATATGAACTGCAGATGACAGAATATGAAATACATGAGTATGGTATATCTATTAACAATATGAAGAAGGTATTTACATTTTTCAATATACCAGTTAAACTGTATAACTTTCAATATCAGTTGATATTTAAGCTGGAACCCATCATCATAAGCATGGTCGTAATACCAAAATGTTTCTAGCATTGAATAAGAACAATCATGTTTATCCAATAAATAAAAACCTAGAAAAATTAAGTCATTTACAGGATGAAAAAGATGTATCGCTTTTAGCACCCAGTAATTTTTACATCAATGATAAGACTGAACCCCCAAAATTCAAAATGTCATATAGACGAACTGCTGAAAATGAAAGGAAATTCGTCAGTTGAAGGCCGAACTTGCTCTGTACAAACGCATGTAGGCATGAAGCGCACAGGCTGTCTTGGAAAAATTGGAAATCACTGCTGGCAGGGTTGGCCGAAACCATCGCGAAACCATATGATATGTGTTGACATATTACGCCATGCTTTGACCGTGTACATGCACATCACCATAATTGTCCCTTGGGTATGCATATGTCATATGTACATACATATTGTGTATACTATGGGGGTACGCCCATGCGTCACCGCAAAACTGCCTGTTTTGAGGCCCTGGTTTTGGAACCTCATTTTGCTCAATCTTGCGGCCGCTTCTTGCTACTTTATTGCATCCTTGGGTGGCAGAGTTCGCTGCAAGCATCCTTTCATTGGAAGATGCAAAATGTGAAATTGCCAGTGTCCAACACCTGCGGGCTGCATATGTTCAAACAGTGGAGCAATTTGCTCAGCGGGCCAGTGAAACAGGGGAACAAAGTTTCGCTATGGAGACATTCTGAGAATCGTGGCGAAAATGCTGGCGTCCCCGGTTCCCCTTTTAAGCAATGTTGATTTGTAAGAGAGGAAGCAGAGCATACAAGGATTTCTCTTGCTACGCGCGTCCTCAACATTGCCAAGCTGGGGTCCAAAGGGAGCCAGGCAGAAGCCCACGGCATTTACAAAGGAAAAAGGAGAGCGCAAGGCGCCGCAACCTAAAGCCAGGACAAAATCAGAAGAAGAAGCTGGACGAGAAAGATGCGGCCAAGGAACATGGAGCTCACGGGATTACTCCTAAGGAACACCGATGTGGTTGGAGGAAAACCACGATTTTGAGCCCCCAATCCGGGAACCGCCCAAACACTTTAGAACACCCCGGCATTACGACAATGGCGGCAAAATGCCAGTAATCTTGAAGCAGAGACCAAGTCGAAAGTAGGAACGGCGCACCGTCCAGGTTCTCCCTGACGCAGAATGACAATCTCAATCAATGGCTTCGACAGATTATGAATTATGACCTTCACACTTGAAATTACGACCCTCGCATTGTCAAATTACGATCCGCCAATCCCCTTGTCTGTCACAGATTACGACACTCGCACTTGAAATTACGACCCTTGCACTGTCAAGTTACGACCCGCCAGTCCCCTTGTCTGTGACACGTTACGACCCTCATACTTGAAATTATGACCCGTGCGCTCTCAAATTACGACCTGCTAATCCCCTTGTCTGTGACAGATTACGACCCTCGCACTTGAAATTACGACCCGTGCACTCTCAAATTACGACCCGCTAATCCCCTTGTCTGTGACAGATTACGACCCTCGCACTTGAAATTACGACCCGTGCACTCTCAAATTACGACCCGCTAATCCCCTTGTCTGTGACAGATTACGACCCTGTCGCCGCTTTGGCCGTATACAATAGTATTTTCCAAAACGCAGAAAGGAGTGGAACCTGGAAGATATAAGGGCCACATTCTGCACAATGACAAGCTCTAGCATTGTATGGGCGGCGCGCGGCCAAAGTGCTTGGAAGTCAACCAGTCTTCGGCATCAGTTTCACGCACCTAGTTTAAATTCCTGTGGCCTCTTTCCATTTCACCTGGCCGAAGCACAGCTGGATCCCATCTACTTGCTTCGGCAGGCACGGCTCCGCTACAGACAAAAAAGGCACTTTCCCCACCTTACACCTCTCAAACAAACACCTCCTATAGAAGTCAGCTTTCCGGACGACGTCCTTTGCCAAAGCATGTGACTCACGCAGATGCAAACACGCCTCAGCCCTTTCCTGGCAGCAGACGCAAAAAGACATGGTTCTCACCATGCAATGTTGTCTTACTGTGAATTCGATCGGTCCTCATGCCATTGCTTCTTTTCTTGACCGCTGTCTCCTGGAGATGGACATGGCCCATGCCATTCCGGGGTCTGATCCCATTCTCAAACATGTCGCAAAGTTGGTTCTTTCGACACAAACTGACACAAGTTTCCGTCAAAAGTCACTAACTTACAGAGCAGAACCCAAACACAAAATGAATTTGCCAGAAAATCCATCCAAAATATTTCCATTCAAATGTAAAGTCAGCAGCTTGGAAAAAAAAGCAAAATCTCTAAATCTTCTAGAAACATCACAAGCGGCCTAAAATTGTGTCAAGGAAGGACGGTAAGCCACGCATTTAAACCCGTTTCAGTTGCTACGCCTCGACGAAACCTGCACACTCACATCTAAAACCCAAGAACCAGGGAAAAGTCACCCAAAGTAAAACGTCAAATATGGACGAAGAATCCCATATCCTTTCCACTGAACTGGTCTAGAAACAGCTTCGACCGCAAAGAGGGGTACATGAAAAAAAAGGCTTGTGGGCACCCGCCTCAGAGAGGCTGTGGAGCCTAGACGCTTCAAACATTACATGTGCCTTGCTACAGACTGCGTCCATGCGGAACACCCTTTCACCCATGTTTTCTATGGGCGTTTTTCACTTTTCTGACGAAGCATTGAAAGGTGCAAGGAAGCGGCGCGGCAAACCACGACTTGACCAACACATGCGCAGCAACCTTGAGGCGTTGCAGCGAAGTCCGCCAACCAAGGATGCAATAAAGTAGCAAGAAGCGGCCGCAAGATTGAGCAAAATGAGGTTCCAAAACCAGGGCCTCAAAACAAGCAGTTTTGCGGTGACGCATGGGCGTACCCCCATAGTAGCAAGCATGATGTTGATTTTCCCCTGCGTGAGACTTGACTGTGTATCTTCTGCAAGTAAAACATGTCTTGACTACGTTTGGTCTGTGAATGTATTCATGCTCTCTGTTTGAGCAATTTTGCCCGCCCAAGTTTCCCTTCCTTCTTTGGTTGAAGTTGTTAGTTTGTTGCACACTTGAATCCGTTCGCCCACCAAACCACTGAATGAAGATCATGTAGACCTTGTTTGCGTCTCAGTACAAATTTGGAGATTTTGGGGTCCTGATTTGGGTCATATTTTGGTCCCTGTTTCGGGCTCCATTTTTGGGCACCGTTTTGGGCCCTTACAATTACAAACAAAATCAAGGGGGCCCAAAAATGGAACCCAAAACAAGGACCAAAATTGGACCCAAATCAGGCCCCAAAATGCAATCCGGGGCCCCAAATTTGTACGGAGACGCAAACAAGGACGTGTAGAGATGATCGTCATTCAGCGGTCTGCTGGGCGATCTTATTCAAGTGTGCAACAAACCAACAACTTCAACCAAAGAAGGAAGGGAAACTTGGCGGGCAAAATTGCTCAAACAGAGAGCATGAATACATTCACAGACCAAACGTAGTCAAGACATGTTTTACTTGCAGAAGATACACAGTCAAGTCTCACGCAGGGGAAAATCAACAGCATGCTTGCTACTGTATATACATATATATATATATACATATACACACTGTATACATGTATAAGTATACATATAATACAGAACAATACTATACATGTGTATAATATTGTATAATTACATATATATATATATACCGTTATATACCTGGTTTTTCCTGGGACCTCGTTCTTCTTCGGTGCTCAAACAAATAACTCTCCGAGCTGTGACCCGCACGAGAATCCCGGATGCTGGCAGCGAATTGAAAGCCTTGACATCCGTCAGGGCCCCACCTTTGAGCTCTTGCTGGTCTCTTGATGAACCTGTGGCGGTCGTAAATCGTGATGATGATTATGTTTATTGATGTTTATCGCGATTCCTATTGTTTTTGGATGTTTTTATATGTTTTTGGTATTTTTTGGTATTGTTACTCTTGTCGCTCCTTTTTCATCCTTTGTGTTATTATCAGTTTCTGTCCCAGGACTTTTTTGGGACCGGTGGCTGCTGGGCGACTACACCTTCTGCAGCAGCCACAGAGCTTGAACGTCAAAGCTGTGCAGGGATTTTCCATGATTGTCCTGGTTCAGTGATTCGGACTTTCTATTGTGGCTTTTGAATACTTTGAGGAGTATGGCTAAGCCAAAAGGTGGCTAGAACGTGTTCAAAACCAAAAGGGCGGCACCTTCAAATTTTTCACTGAACATCGGAGACTCGGAATCATAATTGGAACATATTGGAACCAGGATTTCCCAATTTCCCCCCTTTCTTTGTTTATGTTAATTTATGTTGATGTTAAATCCTTGAGCTGTTGTCTCACTGTTGAGTTGATCAGGCGGAAACAGATGAGGCTGAGGGATTGCTGGCTGGAAGATGTTTGAGAATGTTTGATTTCAAGCCGTCTTAGCGCAATGTTTGGGGCATCTTGAGATCACTTGGGACGAGTATTTGGAATGATTACACCATTGGAAATTGCAAGTTGGATCAATGCTGCCCTTCGGTCTTGGAGTTGCCTCTCAACGTGGACGAAACATCTGATGAAGCAAACAAGCGCAAATTTGCGCATTGAAAATGTTGTTGTTCGGAACCGTGGAACTTCTAGAACGCCCCGAGCACGAATCACTGAAATGAACCAAACAACAACTATCTCGAGCAGAAATATGTATGCACAACGTCCATCTCCAACAAGGCTCCATCCCCCAACCGGTGCCTTGCCAGGCAATTCCATGGCTTTTTATGGCTTTTTGATGCTTTTTGATGCTTTTTGTTTCAGAATGATAGAATGTGTTTTCTGTTATGATTGCATGAAACTTGGATGCTTGAGTGTGAAAAACTTGAGGCCCGGGGGTGCACGAAGGTTCATATGACTGATGGGCTTTGATATAGTTAGGACAGATTGTCGAGACCCTCGAAGGACTTGAGCCCATGACCATCTGCTTCCAAGACCGCTCCAAAATGTCCCGTGAGCTTGGGGGGGTTCACGTGAAAAATCAGTGTTGGAATCGGAGCTGCCCCTCCCTTGTGGAAGCAAGAGTAAACCCGAGCTAGCTACCGCTAGCTTTCGTGAAAAAAGGGAAACTTCTAAATTCCAGTTTGAAGACCCAAGATCAATACCTGCGGTCATGAAATCAAAATTCCGGTAAGAGAAGTGGATGACTGATTTACGATTCTTGATTTGAACTGGTTGTGCAAGCTTGTCGTTTTGCAGGATTCCGCAAGCATGTCCAAGAAAGTGCTTTCATCACCCGTCATTGTCGGGTAGACATCATCGCTTTCAGCATCTTGCAGGTCTACCAGTCTACCGAAGTCTATCGAAGCCTATGTATATACACCTCAGTGGGCCTCCAATTTGCGTCACATCACATCAATCCTCAGAAATGCAAGCAGCTTGTCCTGTTGACCAAACGTGGGGACAACTGCTCCTTTTGGTGTGAGTTGCAAGCCAAACCAAAATGAAACAAACCCCTTCAGGATGTTTCATGTACATTCTCTTGGACCCTTGATAAACAGTCTTTCACAATCGCTCAGTACCTTTCAGCCTTTCTCTCTGATGTTTGCCCGCTTCTGATGCATTTATCATTAACAAACAAATTTTCAGTCTCTGTTGTTTCACTCTGGAAGTCATGGGCACATGAAATTCCAGGCCATGTGGCAAGATTCATTGGAGGAGGCTGCCATTCTCCTCGGCCTTTTCATATGTGAGTCTCAGCACAAATCAGTCAGTCGTTTCTTGCCGTGACGTGGCCCTGAAAGCCCTCAAATTCCCGTGATGTATTGGCAGCAACAACAAGAACCAGTCCAGAGCTTCGGCATATTTGGCGCGTGTCAGAACCCGCCTTCTTCCGCAACTAGCGAATGTCTTTGTCACGATGAACTCGAAATATTCGAGGTGCTTGCCTCCGACAATCCACTTCGAAGGGCCAAACCAGAGTTGCAAGCAGCCTAACAGGCGCAAAGAAGGTACGTAAACGAGAAGTGACAAGAGTATCATGCGCTCCAATCCCTGCATTGGAATACATGCAGGAAGCCTTTAGCCTTTATCATCTAATCACAGCACAAGTTGACAACTGCTTGCAAAAAGGTTCAATCGGACCGCACAGCAGGAACCTCCCCCGCCTTGGAAGCCCTCTGAAAAATCAGGATAAAGTCGCAGTACTGATAGCAGTCTGTCTCTTTTGGCAGACAATGATCCATTGACAGGGCCCGTCACCGTCATCAAAGTTGTGAACTCTTCAATGGGATGCCACTCTCGTGCCATCCTAGGCATTCATTTCACCTAGCTTCTGAACTTTAGAGGACAAGATTCTGACAAGTGAGTATGCTGCGTATACACATGTTTAATTCCAAACTGCGAAACGGCTAGCATTAGCATTCGTGGCGGTGGAGGCCGTGCCGGTGCCGGTGATGGCAGTGGGAGGTGCAGTGGATTGAGCAGCAGATTGCACCTAAAGCAAGGCAGCACCGGTAGCAACCAACTGGCATTGGCTGGAGTGCTCACAACCTATCTCGACATCAGGATCGCAAGTTGGGTATACTGTAGTTGCGTTGCTATAGCAGGAGCAGTTGAAATGGGCAAGGAACGGAGAATCAAATGGGTGTCAAAGAGGAGAAGGCGCTGGCAAAGGGGTGAAGCAGAAGAACGAGCCAAAGAAAATAAAAGAAAAGTAGGTACGCTAGAAAGGACAGGACAAGAGCAAAAGCCGAAAAGAGTCAGGAATGCAGCCGAGAAAGGAATCAATCACAAAGAAGAGCCGGCAACGAAAGGCGATTTCCTCTCCTCCGCAGAATGATCTTCATACTGACATCCCTTATTCCTGCTTTAAAAATGGCTGGCACCTAAAGACGACCCCAAACAGCGAGCCCTTGACACAGCAAAAACATGCAAAACTGCTCAATAATGCTCAATATAACCACAAACTTCTGCAGCCACGTGACGGAACATCACTGGGCGGCTGAAGTGTGTCTATGTCCACCAAGCGGAACAAGTGAGTTAGCCAGGCCTGCGCCATCTTTAAAAGTTGAGAGTTGACTTAGTTGACATCGGAATGCAAAGTCTGTCAACTGCTTGATCCTTTCGTCCACCAGCCTTGTGGCACCCAAAATTGCTGGACACTGCCCGAACTTTCTGTTTCATCACTTCTTGCACCTCGGCTCGGGCTGCCAAATTTCACGCTTTTCAGGCTGAGAAATATGTGAAAAAATAATGATATAAATGACAACAGCTGTAACTGTAACAACAATGATCAAATCAAACTCCGTAGTTTCTGCCTGAAACTCGTTTATTTCTGCACATCTCGTATGTACCCTTTCAAAAGTTGAGGCACAGGAAGAAAACCCAGCACGTGAAGACATATCCTCAGCACCGCAGCAAGCTGTTGACCATGAATGGGATCAGTTTCAATCTGTCTTTGTTCTGCCGAGTAGCTCGGGAAGGAAATTGGCCTCCAAGGATTCGCTCCTGCAGTCGCCAAGGATTCATACCATGTTGTTTCTCGATCAATGCGCAGACCATGACGCGCCCTAGTCTTGATGCACACACAAAGCAAACCCACGAATTCAGAGACAATCCAAAGATGTTTCGATTTGCATGATGCCTTGCGGCGAGAGGAGCTCCACTTCAAATGCAGACGAGAGTCTGAGGAGCGCATGCATCAGCTGCACCGATTTGAACAACCTGGTCAACGTTCAAAGTCGTATGTATCATTTCAGACGGAAGCATGTCACCAACATGACTGTTTCAAATCCTGAAAGTCAAAGAAGGCTTCCAACAGTTCTAACACCTGCACTAAATTCATGAGTTCATCACTCAAACGCCACCAAAAAAGAAGCTTCAAGGGTCCCACAGTTCTTTGTCTTTGGGTTGAAAGGTTGACCGGCCGCCCAGAATAACCAGCCATCCACTGAGCATATACTTCCAGCCGAACGGCTCCATTGACAGCATCGGAACCCTCGCTTGTTTGCAAGGTTGTTGCAACTTCGCAAGCCCTTAGCAAGAAACAATTGCCGAGATCGTGTCAGAAAGGTCAAAGAAAATTCCATCAAGTTGAATTGGAAAAAACATTTTAAAAACTCCGATCACAAAGAGACCCATTTTCACAGCGTGTGGCCAAGACTCCACTTGCAATCTGATTGATCTGCCCCAGTGCATGAAGCACAATTCGAAACATCCACCTCTGTCACATATCAAGGCTGCAACGGATCCCGAAGTTCAGAGTGCTGAGATCACGTACTCGGAAAGAGGGACAAGATACTGTAGCGAGGCGATTTCATGTGAGAAAAGATATATTGGAGAGGTCAAAAGTGCTTGATAGCCACCCACCACTAAGGCTCCAATTGAGTGGCCTCATTCGTCTCATTCTTGGAGTTTGATTCCTCTTCAAACCTGGTGCCAAGGCTCGCTGCGGCTCACTTGTCCGGGCATCAAGTAGGCTCAGCTGTGTCTAAGGGCTAACAGACCCGCCTCAACTCCGCTTCCTCATCGACCTGGCCAAGGCACCGTCAGGACAAAGTCGTCCCACGCAAAACAGGGGAGCTAGCAGCAGCTCGCGCCAAGCAGTGCTTTGGTGTAAAGAATTGTCAAAGCCATTTTGTTTGAGAACAAAGGACATGGTGTTTTTTTTTACTTGGTGAGGTCCATTGCTGCACCCATTTCCAAGTCTCAAAGCCGTATCCCTTGTCCAGCTTCACATTTAGATTGTCTGACATGACTTCAATTTCAATTCAGTATGCATGGGAGTACCTTTATCTAAATTCGAAACATCTTTCATTCCATTTCCTGAAACAACATGAAATAAAATTCTCGCTTACACCCAGGGTGTCACCCTCCTTTCTCTTGGATCTGCCCCCGTTTGAGCACCTCGGACTCGCCGTCTGAATCACTGCTTTCACCGGATATCTGCGGCTTCGCCGCCTAGCCCAACCAAACCCTCTGGCTCCTTGATAGCTCATCCACTTGACTCGGAACATCAACTCTGGTGCTTTCCACTGCTGTACCTCAAACCTAACCTCTCCCACATGAGTTTCGTCACACGTGCAACATGTGCAGTTCCCTTCCAAATCCGACGATTGATTGGAAGCCATCTGTAAGAAGACGGGTCTTTACTGTATATAATTTATATGATATGGTACAGTGATAGCTAGTGCCTTGTGGAACTCTTGCAATGTATGGAAAAGCCTGACATAGTCGTCTAGTTTTCTTACAACACCAATACTAAAGTATAGCTGCATCAGACTGCGAAAGGCCGCAAATGCTTTGCGGCTCAACAAAGAGGCTATACATGTACCCTTTCATTTCAATTAGGCTTTAGATCTACATTGTAGCTATGTGTAGCTATGCACCTGACATGATTGCCTTGATGATTAGAGACCTTTCCTCGTGTATCTAATCTTCCTCGAGCCTAACAGCCTAACATCGCCGCCTCCAGAGACTCCTCGGACTCAGTCTTGAGCACTTCTGGTGCCTGCGTCGTTTTCCAGGTTGAGCCCACGATTTGAAAATTCTACAGCGAAATTGGGGGAGCCTCTAAATCATCCTCAGACTCAGCATTGAGCAATCCTTGCTGCGCGGATGCCTAGGTCGATCAAGCCCTGTAGGAAAAGTCCAGGTGAAGTGGAGGCGAGAAGCCGAAACACACTGGAATGTCAAGTGACTTAGGTCATGGTTTGATGTTGATCGAGCAAGAATTGCATCGCAGCCACATTAAATTGCAAACATGGACTGCAAGACTACAGCCACGGATAGAATTTGAGACGAGTCGGCACGCTGGAATTTTGAATAAACTGTGCAGATGGCCTGGGCAACACCATCTCCGTCCGAATGATCATCAACGTTATTGATATCCTCCCCCTCGTCAGACTCATCAAGCTCCTGAAGCACATCATCCTCTTCGGGCACCCCCGTAGCCGTCGTACCAAGTGAGAGTCGCCTCCGAGCACGGAAGGAAAGGAGTTCATGAGTTCAGAAGAGACGCTGTAGTTACGCTGCATGAGCCAGCTGCTTGATTCACAATTATGTCATAGATCGTCTTAGCATGTCTTCGCAGTATGCCCTTGACTGAAAGTCGGTAGTTGGATTTTTTTCTCACAATGAAATGGTCATGAAAGGTCAGTTTGGATCTTGACCGGCCCAAAGCCTCGTGTCCTTCTCGGACTCCTCCTCTGTGGAAGCCACTTGCAAATGGTCCTGATTGGGAAGGATCCCGCAGCAGGCTCAGGTGATGGCGTCGACAGAGGTGGAGGGCTGGTGTCAAAATGTCGAGCAATTTCGGAAAGTCATATCCGATATCCCTTTTACATACAGAAGCCTTTACTCAGAGCAACCTTTTCCACAATGACGCTTTTACACCGACAAGTGCAAAAAGGGAAGAAACACCTTTATGAGTTATATGAGCCTACATGTTGTACTCCGTTCATCTTGCTTCACATTTCGATCTATTTCACTGTTTCACTGCAACCTTCTCTCCGACATGAACATCATGAATCATGAACATCATTGTCAAAAGAAGGTTGACAGCCCGATGTCGGCACCTCTGAATCATCCTCGGAGTCTGTCATCAGTAACGGTCCCTGTACCAGTGCCGTTTCCATGAAGAGTGCGCGATTTGAAAATTCTACAGCTACAGCGAAAGCGACAACTGGCCACAACGAAGCGTTGTGGTGATGTTGTGGTGTCCTTCGATTGATTCCAACCCGTTGCATTCTCTCTGACATGAACATCGTTGTCAAATGGTTGTTGATCTTCTCTTGACTCGCCTAACAGCCGATCTCGGCACCTCTGCTGCATCATTGGAGTCAGTCTCCTCTGTGGAAGCCACTTGCAAAAGGTCCTGATTGGGAAGGATCCCGCAGCAGGCTCAGGCGACGGCGTCGACAGAGGTGGGGGGGGCTGGTGTCAAAATGTCGAGCAATTTCTGAAAGTCATATCCCTTTTACGTCCTTTTACTGTACTGTTCTCAATCTCGCCCACATTTGGCCGCAAAGGGACACAAATGAAGTCATTATATCACTGATTTGACACGGATATCAAAGGATGTAAGATACATTAAGATACCATCTGAAAATTCCAAAATTTCCTGAGTTCCATGCTTTTTCAAGTATTGCTCCAGGCATTGAACACCTTGCATTCTCAACAGGGAAAATGAGAAACACAAAGACTTCAACTTCTCTGGGACAGGAAGCTTCTCAAGCTGGGAGTCTGACAGAGGCACACTGGCCTCAAAAACTGGAGCCTGGCAGCAGCCCCTTTCGCAATCCAGCTGCTTAGCAAGCTGCTGTGCCAGCTGTGAGACAAACAAAAGTTGGACAGCCGGCTGCAAATGCCTCAAAACAGAGAAGAACAGCAGGCAAAACGAAGAGAAATAGATTGATGTTGACATATGTTGACATCCATTGAACAGACCATATCAAATACTCGGCCAAGAAGCATCCATGCTTCCAACTCGGCATTTACCTGCCATGTGCATGGGCGCCACTCGTGCGCCATCGACATCTTGACGAATGGCTGTAACCCTTCACAGGTTGATATCCGGCTCTTTTAGCAAAAGATGCGAAGCAGCCCAATCAGTGGAAAGAAAAAGCCGGCCGGTTTTGGCTATGTCTTGCAACCACCTCAAACCACGAGTCACTAGTCAGCGTCTGCTGTGATTTGCAGGATGAAAAAAGCATTGTGTTTTGAAAAGTTGAATGTTGTAGCTGTAGCTGTGAAATCCGGTTTCAAGTGCCAAGAGATGGCTGCAGAGCATGGATCATGACTGCTTTGCGATTTTTCGCTTCACTTCATTGTTCAATCTTGCGATATCTTACGAGTTGGCAGGTTCGGGGAAAGATCTCCCAATACGTCTAACCTATTGCCCGTACAAATCGAACAAACGTATGTTTCCAGAATGAGCAGTGGAGATCCCATGTGTCTGTGGAGTTTAACATTCACGCACCTGTGCACACAGCTCTACTTCCTCCCCAGTAATGAAACACAAGTTGACAAAATAAGATGAAATTTCAGATGTTGGTTTTGACTGGTGATTGATTGTGTCAGTTTTTCCGGTCATGTTCTTTGCATTTCTACTACATGTTGCACTTGAGGCTATCCTGTTTTGCCCGAACCGCACTGCTCATCAACGTCTATGTGTCAATGGTCCTGGCTCTTCGGTCAATTTGCGACGGTGATGAGTTCAGGAATATCGCCAATGAAATCATCTGCATAATGTGGGGAAAAGTGCGCCAGGTTCTTTCTCATTTGCACAATCTTCTACTGAGCACACAGTCCTTAATTAAAAACGAGAATATCAATCAGCGACAAAGTTCTTACAAAACAATAGAGAAACCCACAATAGCAACTGAATCTCCTGCACCGCAAGAACTGCTCGAGGTGCTCCATCTCCTCATAAACCGCTCTCGCTCTGCCGAGCGCCTCGGACTCATCCGAATCTCTGGTCGAACATCCGGCATCTGCTGCTTGGCCTAGCCCGGACAATGATCCAGCCAAGGGTACCCAGCTACCGAGATTAAGAAAATTTCCTCCAGGTCACATGTTTGTTCGCCTTTACTGATTTAGCACGTGTTTTTCAGAAAACAAAATCTCGGGGCTCAAAAGTACGGACCGTTTTCAAAACACTGTGTCAAACTTAAGCCTCCTGGATCTTTCAACGAGCAGGAATTTGTTGTTGTTGTTGTTGTTGGTTGTTGGTTGTTGGTTGTTGGTTGTTGGTTGTTGGTTGTTGTTGTTGTTGTTGTTGGTTGTTGGTTGTTGTCGTGGTTGTTGTTGTTGTTGTTGTTGTTGTTGGTTGTTGTCGTGGTTGTTGTTGTTGTTGTTGGTTGTTGTTGTTGTTGGTTGTTGGTTGTTGGTTGTTGGTTGTTGGTTCTTGGTCCTTGGTTCTTGGTTCTTGGTTCTTGGTTCTTGGTTGTTGGTTGTTGGTTGTTGGTTGTTGTTGTTGTTGTTGTTGTTGTTGTTGTTTGTTGGGTGTTGGCTGTTGGCTGTTGGTTGTTGGTTGTTGGTTGTTGGTTGTTGGTTGTTTGTTGTTTGTTGTTTGTTGTTGGTTGTTGGTTGTTGGTTGTTGTTGTGGTTGTTGGTTGTTGGTTGTTGGTTGTTGTTGGTTGTTGGTTGTTGGTTGTTGTTGGTTGTTGGTTGTTGTTGGTTGATGTTTGTTGTTGTTGTTGTTGTTGTTGTTGTTGTTGTCCTTGTCGTTGTTGTCGTTGGTTGATGTTGGTTGTTGTTGGTGTTGTTGGTTGTTGGTTGTTGTTGGTTGTTGTTGTTGGTTGTTGTTGTTGTTGTTGTTGGTTGTTGGTTGTGGTTGGTTGTTGGTTGTTGGTTGTTGGTTGTTGGTTGTTGGTTGTTTGTTGTTTGTTGTTTGTTGTTTGTTGGTTGTTGGTTGTTGGTTGTTGTTGTTGTTGTTGTTGGTTGTTTGTCGTTATTGTTGTCGTTGTTGTCGTTGTTGTCGTCGTTGTCGTTGTCGTTGTCGTTGTGGTTGTTGGTTGTTGGTTGTTGGTTGTTGGTTGTTGGTTGTTGGTTGTTGGTGTTGGTGTTGGTGTTGGTTGTTGGTTGTTGTTGTTGTTGTTGTTGGTTGTTGTTGTTGTGTTGGTGTTTGTTGCTGTTGTTGTTGCATGTTGTTGTTTTTGTTCTTTTTGTTGTTGTTTTTTGTTGTTTGTGTTGTTTTTTGGTTGTTTGTTGTTAGTTGTTTGTGTTGTTTGTGTTGTTGTTGTTGGGGTTGTTTTTTTGCTGTTTGCTGTTTTTCTGTTGTTTGTTGGTTGTTGGTTGGTTGGTTGGTTGGTTGGTTGGTTGGTTGGTTGGTTGGCTGGCTGGCTGGCTGGCTGGCTGGCTGGCTGGCTGGCTGGTTGGTTGGTTGGTTGGTTGCTGTTTGCTGTTTGCTGTTTGCTGGTTGTTGGTTGTTGGTTGTTGGTTGTTGGTTGTTGGTTGGTTGGTTGGTTGGTAGGTTGTTGTTTGCTGTTTGCTGTTTGCTGTTTGCTGTTTGCTGGTTGCTGGTTGCTGGTTGCTGGTTGCTGGTTGCTGGTTGCTGGTTGCTGGTTGCTGGTTGCTGGTTGTTGGTTGTTGGTTGGTTGTTGGTTGTTGGTTGTTGGTTGTTGGTTGTTGGTTGTTGGTGTTGTTGTTGTTGTTGTTGCTGTTGTTGTCGTTGTCGTTGTCGTTGTCGTTGTTGTTGTTGTGTTGTTGTTGTTGTTGTTGTTGTTGTTGTTGTTGTTGTTGCGGGGTTTCGGAATGTATCGCATTTTGTTTGCTCAAACAAGAACTCATCAAACTTTGACAGTGCCCTCTGGTTTTCTCCCATTTGGGAAAAGGGAAAAGTAGGGCGCACAACGAGAACGATTTACGCAAACAAACGTAATTTGGCACAAACAAGCATGCATTGAAAATGTTGTTGTTCGGAACCCTGGGACTTCTAGAACGCCCCGAGCACGAATCACTGAAATGAACCAAAACAAAAATCTCGAGCAGAAATTTACCAGAGCAGAAATCAATGAGCTTCTAAAGATCCAAATTCAATAAAAACAACATTTTTATGTGTACCCAACATCCATCTAGGCCAGGCTCCATCCCCCAACCCGTGCTGGCAAGGCACAGACCATTCCATGGCTCTTTGGGTTTTTTGATCTTGTCTCTTCAGTTGCAGTAGAATAATTAATCTTAATTTAGATAAGATAACGTTTCAGAATGTGCTTTCTGTTACTTGGAATAAATTCGGAAAATTCTTCAGTCACTATAGTATAGTCACGTTATTTCAGGGTCAATCTGCCAAATTTCAAGTTGAAACCCAATTTTTATTCAATGAAACTTGCCGGTTGAGTTTGAAAAACTTGAGGCCCAGGGGCCAGGGGGTTGCACAAAAGCTAAGGTTCATATGACTGATGGGGCTTTGATATAGTTGAGACAGATTGTGGAGAGCTCAGCATGCCCTGGCAGGATTTGAGACCATGACCATCTACTTCCAAGACCGCTCCAAAATGCCCGAGCTTGTGGGGAGGTTCATGTGAAAAATCACTCCCTTGCTGAAGCAAGAGTAAACTCCAGCTAGCGCTATCTTTTGTGAAAAACGGGAAGCTTCTAATTCCCAGTCGCAGACCCAAGATCAATGCCTGCAGTCATGAAACAAAATTCCGGTAAGAGAACTGGATGACTGATTTCCAATTCTTTGTTTGAACCCGTTGTGCAAGCTTGTCGTTTTGCAGGATTCCACAAACATGTCCAAGAAAGTGCTTTCATCGCCCGTCATTGTCCAGTAGACATCATCCCTTTCAGCGTCTTGCAGGTCTACTGAAGTCTATGTACACCTCAGTGGGGAAGTTGCGTCACATCACATCAATCCTCAGAATGCACACAGCTTGTCCTGTTGACCAAACGTGGTAACAACTGGTCCTTTTTGGTGTCACTTGCAAGCCAAACCGAAATGAAACAAACCTTTCTTCAGGATGTTTCATGGACATTCTCTTGGACCCGTGATAAACAGTCTTTCACAATCGCTCAGTACCTTTCAGCCTTTCTCTCTGATGCTTGCCCCCTTCCGATGCATTCATCACTGAGAAACAGTTTTTGAGTCTCTGTTGTTTCACTCTGGAAGTCATGGGCGCATGAAATTCCAGGCCATGTGGCAAGATTCATTGGAGGAGGCTGCCATTCTCCTCGGCCTTTTCATATGTGCGTCTCAGCACACATCAGTCAGTCGTTTCTTGCCGTGACGTGGCCCTGAAAGCCCTCAAATTCCCGTGATGTATTGGGGGCAACAACAAGAACCAGTCCAGAGCTTCGGCATATTTGGCGCGTGTCAGAACCCGCCTTCTTCCGCAACTAGCGAATGTCTTTGCCGCGATGAAATTGAAATGTTCGAGGTGCTTGCCTCCGACAATCCGCTTCGAAGGGCCAAACCAGAGTTGCAAGCAGCCTCACAGGCGCAAAGAAGGTACGTAAACGAGAAGTGACAAGAGTATCATGCGCTCCAATCCCTGCATTGGAATACATGCAGGAAGCCTTTGTCATCTAAATCATCTAATCACAGCACAAGTTGACAACTGCTTGCAAAAAGTTTCAATCGGACCGCGCAGCGGGAACCTCCCCCGCCTTGGAAGCCCTCTGAAAAATCAGGATAAAGTCGCAGTACTGATAGCAGTCTGTCT